AGGATATGAAGACTGAAAACGAACGAAGGGATAACAAAAGGGTTCGGGCCCCCGGATGGGTAAAACTACACCACTTCAAAAGCAGGGTGATTGGAATCATGTCTTGTCTACAGCCCTGGGATATAGTGTTACTAGTTGTGTGGGCAAAAACTTCGGGGGTGTTTGGCAGACCGAGTGTTGAGATGGATGACCTTGTCTTCTACCCGCGTGTTGCGCCAGTTATCCTTCCCAGAATTTTTCTCAATATTAAATTTAACATGCTTTAACACCTTTAAACATATTCTAGTAACACCTCTTGTCAAGAAAAACCGTGCGTAGAACACACGATCATCTCAACACACGGTCTGCCAAGCACTCCCTTCCCTCCCGAATCCCGATGGCGCCTCGCTGCTCCCCTCCTCCCTCCTCTTTCCTCAAATTTCCAGCCCAACCTTCCGAATTCAGCCGCAGACGCTGCCTTTCCACCTGTTCCCTTCACCAGAATGAGTGGGGCGATAAGCGCAAAACCCCTACTTTGCCATTCCCCTTCGTGGGAAGCCCTGATGCTAGAAGGCGCTCGGAGGTGAAACTACGCTAGTGTAGTGGAATGGGGTGTCTAGGAGCAGCCATCGGGATGGTGGTTCGTGCTTGGGGACAATGGCACTATCGATGGAATACTCTAAGTCAGGGAGCAGGAGTTTCTAACACATGTTTCTTTTATCACCAGTGATTGGGCAGAATCCTCATTTCCCTACCTTCCTTCGCTTTATGATAGAATTTTATCAAAAAGGAACGTGTGAGGCGGACCGGAGGTAGTTTTTGGACCCAGAATGCCCCAGGATAATTATAATTCTTTCAGTTTTCTCCGATGTGTTTAGGCGTGATGAGCGAGAGAGGTTACGGTACAAGCAACGATGACCGTTACCATTCTCACATACGAAGGGATCATTTCATTCCGCCCACCTTTGTCCGCTGCCCACGCTTAAAATTATTGACAGGAAGTGTTGATTTATCCTAACACCGGGAATCCCCCACCCCGTCAATCTCACATGCTTTCCGGTGCGTGGTTACACGAGTCCTTCGAGCTCCGACCCTCGGATACCGCTTATCCATGTGGTGGAGGCTGGATACCGTGTTCTATGAACGCTAACGGTTTTGCGAGAATTGGCTACCGCAGCCCATACGGTAGTTGCCAGTCTCTTTTCTCGTTGAGCTCACGCCGGGGGCTCGCCCGGGTTGCTGTCTCGGGGAGGGTTGATCATGGGCAGGGCCCTCGGCGCCAAGCTTGAAAGGAATTTCCTTAGTGATCGCTCACGCGATTTCTTTAGGTTCCGGTGATGAAGCCATTAGCCGAATTCCTAACACGTATCCAACGCAAATGGGGCATAATCCAAAGGCCATTATTGAGCGCCCATCACGAAAAAAAAGAATCCATAAAGGGGACATTATTGAGGGAGGAAGAGGCTGCCAGCAGCAAACTATATTAAAGTGCGGTAATGCGAGTGGGGAGGGGGGGCGTGCCAGGATATCGCAGGCACAAAGCAGCCTACCTGTGCTTGGCCAACGGGGTAGCCACTTGTCCAAGTTAATTTCTTGGCGACTAAGACGGGATAGACACTTGCTAGCCTGGTCGTTAGGCAGCTCATTTGCCCGGGGGTATCCTGTTCATTAATTTGTCCAACTGCCGATTGGGATATCCCAGCGAGAGAGCAAATACCGGTATGAACCTACCCCAGCGGCTGAGCACAGTACCAATGCCACCACCTTGCAGTCGCGTTCCATTCAGGATGCTAAGGCCAAAGAAGGCACAGCCAGAACCCGGCCACTCTCTCAGCTTACTTCGCGATGGCATAGTTTACCGATTGTCGAGGTAAGTTGGGGGATTGCAATACTCAAGACACAAAAAGGTATTTGGAGAGGAGATTGGGGATATACATCGCACGCCACGAGATGTCAGATGGTTCGCGGGCGGATATCCCGAGAATTATTCCAGAAAAAAAATCTCCGAATCATGTGTAGGAGCATTCATAGTCTCCACTCCATACACGATCTTATATCGACCGACGATGGTATGCAGATTCCTCCTCGTTTCGCTAAACATCGACGCTATCCTCGGAGAGGTCATCATCTCCAACAGATGTCAAAAATTTGAACAAAGCAGCCAAGGGGCAATCATTTAGAGGATACGTAAATGGCCACCTTAGAACGAGCGAAGCCACAGAAGGTGGGGCATTTACGGGCTCGGAATGGAAGCCCCGACGTGGGCATCGAATTCGGAACGATCATTACCCACTAGCGAGCTATGCCACCCCTCGGGAGTAACCATAGGATCCGCGGATCTAGATCCCCAAAGCGCTCCTGCGGTTCGAGCGCCGCCGGGGTGTGCTTTAGGGCTTATCGCTGTTGAGGTCTCCTCCGACACTATCCGGCTTCTCACTTGACTTCGTGGGAGGATCTATCCAATAACCCAAGCCTGTTCCAACCCCCACATTCGATGATAGCGGAGGTTTGCTTGACGTACCCCAATTTTCAGTGTGTCCGGGAACTTTCACTATCTTTTTGTTCGGCCCCACCAACCATTCCCCTTGCCGGACATTCCTCTTGATACTGGGAAAGCACATGAGAAGGGAGGAGACGGAGAGTGTGAGCCCGCTCGCGCTCCGGCTTCTGTTTGGATTCGAACAGCACATACCCCTTCACCCTCTCCTGCTACATTAACATAAAATAGACGCGTTAGTGGCTTTATAGGGCTCCATGGAGAGGCCCTTCTCGGGATCGTAGGGGTAGTTGCTGCTTTATCGGCCATCAAGGAATGGGATATTAGTGCAGCAGATACCATGGGTAGAACGGCGCTTACAAGGGCCGTAGTAGGAGTTCATGAGGATATAGTAAATATACTATTACAACAGAAGGATTACAATCCCAACATTGCAGACACCGAACATAGGCGAACACTATCGCTATGGGCATGCGGAAGCAGTCAAGCTGCTATGGGGACGGGTGGATATTAATCTCAACAGTACAAAAAATCACAACCGAACACCATTCTGGTGGGCTGTCCGTCGTGAGCATGAGATAATTAGTACAGTTGCTTTTGGAAAAGGGTATATCACTCCCAACGATGCAGACACCGTATATGGCCGAACACCGTTCTTGTTAGCTGCAGGGGTAGGGATAAGGAAAGAGTGAAATTGCCATTAGAACAAAATATCTATCCCAACATTGCGTATACCAGATCTTGCCTAACACCGCTTGGGTGGGCCGGAAGGACGTGCATGAGGGGGGTAGTAAAGCTACTCTTGGAACAAGAGGATATCAACCCCAACGCTGGGATACTAAATATGGTCGAACATCACTCCCGTGGGCTGTGGAGAGCGGGCACGAGTGGGTAGCAATACTGCTGTTGGGATAGATGATGTCAACCCCGACATACCAGACCTCAACGGCGAAACAGCTCTTGAATTATCTGCGTCCCGTGGACATACAAGAATCGTGGAGTTACTCTCCAAACCTACTTCCCCCCCTTCCCACCCCCCGCAGAGATTGCCGAGGTGCAAGAGCACCCCTCAACCGAAACGTCCGACCCACCTCAATGCCCGCCTCAGCTTACCCCGCCGGTCTGCATTTCACCGCCGGAGCCCCTTCCCCCGGTACCCGACTCCCTACAATACCGCTCTTCCTCATCAACCATCTCACCATTGTCGTTCCATAGATGACCGCAACACCATATACGCGGAGCTGGTGTGGGTAAATTTTACACTGATCCAAGTTAGATGTAAAAACACGAGTTTATGCACGAGCATGAACGGAAATCCATGCCGGGACCCTGCGCCGGCATATTGTGTACCAGCTATGCTCTCCTCTTTCTCTCCCCCTCCGTCGTCAATTATCATCTCACGCCTCTCTCCTGTGCCATACCCCTTTATCTCCCTTCATCAGGCGACCCACTTTCCCCGCTTCCTCCCTTTCCCCCAGTTGATATTTTAGAATATTGTATCGTAGGGATGTACGATACCTTCCCTCTTGATTCTTCGATAGTCTACCCTCCACAATGTATGACATTAAAGTCGACGGCTTCTCAATTATGGAATAATAATAATAATAAAAAGTCAACAGAAACCCAACCATCTCATCATGCCTCCCGCTCCTAACCTCCATGGAAGAAAAAATAAATCAGTGATGGTGTGCCTATTTTCAATCGCCTATACCCGCGATGTGTGACCAGACACTCACCCGATAATACATTTACTTACCCCCCCCCTCCTCCCCACGACCCCCGGGACTCCATAGAAGTAAAAAAAAAAATCAGAGTGAACGAATAACCACAATGGTGAATAAATAAAATAATGGCCATCAAGAAGGATGAATGCATTAATTATTGAGCTTCCCCTGCTTTATATATAAATTATATATCAATATTTTACAAACTCTATAGAACCGGGACAGCCAAGAATTCCTCCTTCTTCCCCTCGTTCGCCATATATCTCGCAGGGTAGGCAATAACACCCTTTCCCTTCCTTTCCTCCCTTAATCCGCAAGTCCTAAATCCCATCTCAGACCTCTAAAATACGATACACCAGCAGTCGTCTAACTTTCACCCCAACATAAAAAAAAAATCCCCCAATTCCAACTATCCACCTCTGCAAAAAACCACTCCACAAGAAAAGCACGCCACAAACCACCCCACCAACGCACCACCTCTCATCCCGCACTTCACACTCACGATCCCGCTCAAGGCTCACAACGGCACCGGACCCGAAATTCCAAGCCCCCTCCACTGAAAACCTTCGCGGGAAGTGGCAGGCATTTAGCATACCGGTAAGGGGAGGGAGTCCATATTCGTACCATAGCGGGTGTTGCACTCCGCCCCGTAGCTTGCAGGTCCCTCAACCACAAACTTCCCTATACGGTCAAGGGTCCTCGGGTTGCTAGCGTATCACTGGGTTTGGGGAAATGCGTCGCGTTCCGGGCCGGTTTTGCTATCAAGCATGTACATTCTGTTACTACCCGAATTAAACGTTGGATGAGGTACGGCGAACGCATACATAAGGTGTCGGCATTACTGGCAAGAAAAGGGTTGAGGGGGGTTCGGAAAATTACGAAAGCGCACTGTGGTAATTTACCGGTAACTGAATTGAGTTGCAGTATGGGCAAAAAGGGAAAAGGAAAAAAGAAAAAAAAGTAAGCCTAATCCGAAATATATCCCTCTGTCGCCCACATATCTCCATCTATCATATGATACTCGTACCATACACAATAACCCTAAGTTCAGCGTCCTAATACAGGCAAAGGCACTGAATTCGTGCAAAAAAAATAAAAAGAAAAGAAAAGAAAAAATTCGCCCGGAATTAGCGTCGGCGAACGTCCCCACGCAACATCGGGTGCGGGTACAAGTACCGCGTGGTAGTCTGCCATCATACGATGAGATAGGATCCTTCGGAATGGGTTCCCGTCCGCTATGGCCCTCCCAAGACCTCATGATCTCTTCCCGGGTTATGGCGAAAGTAAAGGAAACCACCGCGAGATCGCTTGTCGACATAAATCCCGTAGACGTTCATCTCTCTGAGGCTGTGGAAGTACCATATCCGGCCTACGGCCCGAGCAGAGAGAGGTACTGTACTGTACTGTACTATGCTGTAGAGTGTTTGTGATATGTGTTACAGGTAAGCATACTCCATATGACCGGGCCCGCAAATAATATATCTAGCCCCTAACTTAACCCGGGCTGTCGGAACGATTTAAAAAAAATCCCAGACCACAATACTTTCACCTCAAGCGCGGCTTCCAGGAATCTACCACCTCATCAGCGGATCCTACACCTGTCTCCCCAACTTCTAATATGATACAATTCGAATTCCACACAAATCAGGGAGCAGAGTATGATCATTGCCCCAAGTACTCCCAATCCACAACCCAACAGGGCTAAGGTTAGGGTTGTAATTCACCCCAACCAAAAAGCCACAACCACTCTATGTTACTAGTACAAATCCTTCCTATGGCAGTCCTTGGCGGCTTATGGTAATTGTGATATGATACAACCCCGGCACAATAGTAGCTCGGAGAAAGAGTAACCCTATCCCGGCCTTTGCCAGCCCCGAGCTCCAATACTCTATGCCCATCATAAGGGTCACCGCTATGTGGATGTGGATAAAGACGCGGAGTGGAGCAAATCTTAGCCCAAAATGATCCAGCTTCCAGATATCTATCGACCCCGGTATAGCGCGGTGAGCCGGTAGAACATCCACCTAACTTAGCTCCTTATCCTCCACGATTCCATCTACCCACCCCATTTCTATTCATCCCCCTCCGTCTCTCTCTAGGAAAGGAGGTAATACTGAACATCATGAAGTCCATAGGTGTTCGTCAGATTCCCGGGAACCCAGGCCAAGTTTTTTTCTACCCATCTGCCTTCTTCTTCCGGTGGTTTGGCTGTGATTCGAAGTTGACTTAGCGATGGTTTAGAATACATCACATTACTACTGCCAGCCCCGGAGAGTGATGAGCTAGTTGTCAAGATACTTGCAGCGGGCTTGAGCCATGGTGACCACACCATCCGCGAGCATTTGTACCCGGAATAGGCTTCCCGGTACCGCTTCTAACCGACGCTATTGGCGTGTTTCGGCCAGAAAGCCGAATTCTCAGTGGGTTGAGAAACGCGTTTTTTTGATTGTAGGGCCAGGATGGGACTCTTCCCCCGAAGGTCTAGAAACCTCTCCCTGCGCGATCCTAGGCCGCACCAAACATACTCTTCAAGGAACACCCGGCAAGGTGTTAAGGCAGGTGGTAATGTACTCATCACTGTGATTGGGGGTGGAGTTGCGTTGGTTGCATTGGGTTCCTCTGTAGCGGTCGGTGCCAATGTCCGGGCTACTAGTGGAAACCCGGAGAAATTGGAGGCGGCAAAGATGTTGGGCGCGAGGGGGGAGTAAGCTACAGGAAAGTGAGATGTGAGAAGGAATTGGAGACAATGCTACCTTTGCCAGTAGAGAGGTCATAGTTGGACGTTGTACTTGACGGAGCGAGGGACGATATCTGTGGTAGGTTAGGACTTGGTCAATTGCAGTGCACAAGAGGCCAACGAGACCAGCGAGAACCGTCCCAACACTAAGAGTGAGTGGGAAAATTGTCCTGAACGACACTCGCGCCCAAGACTCCATTTGCCATGCCAGCAATATTTAAAGACGTCGAGGCTCGCCGCTTTCCACTTCTTCCAGGGCTCTCAAGTCCTCAAACACCAACCAGTTAGATCCGCCGTACAACCCTCGGATTGCGGAAAGAATCCGGGGAAATGGTGGAATTTGTTCGCGAACACAGACTTGGTGTTGTAATATCCAAGGTAATTGAAGAGCTGACATTTGAGGTGCGTGAGGAAACCCCCGAAATAGTGAAGGGGGGCAAACAACTCTGCAAACTGGCCGTCAGTAATGCGGATGAGGAGGAGGGGATGATTCCCTCAAAGCCTTTGGAGAGAAATTGACGTTTGGTCGGAGCTCTGTATCCAGACGAGTGATTTTATCCAAGAGATTCCTTCACCTTCTTTCATGTGATAGGAAACGATTGGCGGGGTCCCGTTTCTACCTGCGCGGGTGCAGGTTGCAACATCACCATCACCGATACGGCACTCTGGGAAAATTTCGAGGGGCGATGCAGGAACAACAAACACCCTTCGAAGATTCCTATCTCGATGCTCCGCGCACCGGCACCCACCTCACGGGTAAATTCCAAGCCAATGGCTGATACCACGTTAGAATTTCAAGCCAAGCTCGGTTGGCGGAAAAAGATAGATTGTAAATCTATCAGGATGCACCCTTCTCGCAAGATTTCCGGGTCCGAAAGATAACCGCTAGTGATGCCTGGAATCGATCTAGTCTGAATTTTGCTGCCGCAGAGAGGGGGGCAGGAAAATTCGGAAGAAAAGCAGCTGATAAAAAGGTGCCGTTAATGCCCCTTCTATTCCACCTTCTCTTGCTCTCTTCTACGTTGTTGTAGTAGAGCTTGCGTTTCAGGTGCAAGTATTAGGAAAAACATTAATCCGTAGAGTACACGTGCTCACGTGTTTCACTCCAAAGTCCACCTTGTCGCAACTCTTCAGTACCGCACACCCTTTTGGTCTCTTTTCTTCTCTCTTCCCTTTCCCCTTCCCTGAGCTCCGCCACACCTCTCACCCCCGCCCGCCCAGTTAGCATCACAACGCCTACGAGCTCCTGTGAGTATCATACCGGCACGTAACCCCCCTCGACCCCCTCCTAACTCCGCCCTTCCCTTCTCTTCCCCGTGCCCCTCACCCTGTTCCCTACCTGTCCGCTCAATTCACAACCACCCCCGCTCAATAGCAGGGAGGGAAGGTATCCCCCCGTTAGGGCCCTTCTGCCCAATTCAAAGGTATCTAACATCCTTGGTATCATAGTATTGCGAACGCCCCCTGCGTCCATTGCTTTTCACTCATCGCTTTTCCCCATACAGCCCGCAAAACAAAAAATTGGAACAATGGCCGACCAGGTTAATCATGAGGAAGTCCATAGTCTTCTTGTTGAGGTTGCCCTAGCGGCTGGCGACATGATTGTTGCTGCTCGGCCCCACATTGCCGCTGTGGGAACCAAGCAAAATTGCTCGTTCTCTCCCTCCCCCCACCCTGCTTTCTTTGTTTGCTAACTTTTATGGATAGCTGCGGATCTTGTGACTGAGACCGATAAGGCGGTCGAGCAATATGTTATCGCCATCCTCAAGGAAAAATATCCGGGGTTTGAGTACGTCCACAATTGCCATTCAAGCGCATTGAGGGCTGACCCGATGATATCACAGTTTTCTCGGAGAGGAGACATACACTACCGGGAAGAAGCTTACCGACAAACCCACTTTCATCTGTGACCCTATCGATGGGACTGTCAACTTTGTAGGTTGTCTGTTCTCCTTCGACCCCTAGTCCCATGCGGTTAACGAACCTAGGTCCATACATTCCCCAATCTTTGTATCTCGCTTGCCCTAGCTATTCACAAAAAACCGGTCGTTGGCGTTGTTTACAACCCTTACACCACTCATCTCTATAGCGCGATTAGGGGTCAGGGATCCTTCTTGACCATGCCCGTTCGCTCTAAATCTACTGCCCCAATCGAAACTTGCAGGTTTAGGCTTCCACACAATCCTAACCCCCCCCCACTCGAGGGCCTTGACAAGTCTCTCGTTGCGGTGGAATGGGGCAGTCACAGAAGTGGCCGCAACTGGGATGTCAAGTACGAAACCTTCGCAAAGCTTGCTGGTAGTAGAGAGCAAGGTGGAAAGATGGTTCACTCCCTACGCAGTATGGGGAGCGCAGCACTGAACTTCTGCGCTGTTGCTGCCGGACAGATCGATGTCTACTGGGTTTGTTCAACCCTTACCCAATTTTGGAGGCAAGACTAACTGATTCCTAGGAAGGTGGATGCTGGGCCTGGGATGTTGCCGCCGGATGGCTGATTCTTACGGAGGCTGGTGGAATCGTTGCGGATGCTAATCCGGGAAACTGGTCCCCTACGGTGGATGGAAGAAGATATATGGCCGTTAGAGCCGCCCCAGCCGGGCAGAGGGAAATCGTGGAAGAATTCTGGAGTGTCATTCCGCAGGGTGGATATGATTACTCTGCCTGATTTTCTGTTATTTCTCTTTATTCTCGCTTTTCGTATGTAACCACTCGATTGTGGCGTACGGTTCTTGATTGGCCCCAATCCCACTGGCATGATTGGCATATTAGAAATGGTAATCCTGGAACTTAATACATGCATTTGTACTCATATAACACATGGGAGCTGAAAGGTGTAGCAATTTGTGGGAATGCACTCTCGCCCTACTTTCGGCTGAGCCACGTGATACTACTCGTATAGTCACAAAGGAGCTTCCCACTAACTAATTACGGTCGAAAATCGTAGGGCTAGCTGCAGCGTTTTCCCACACCGCTGGCCATGCGGGCAAGGTGGGTGGATTTTGGCGACATATAAGTACCCTTCTTTTTCTATTGCTGACCCTGCATGGGAGTTCTTCCCCACTCTCCCTTTGCCTTTAGCTTCGTTTACATCTCGAGCCCAAGCGAAAATGATATTAAAGAGGGCAGGCTAGGCCTCAAGCATCCTTCATGCTGGTCAAAGCCAGCCAGCCAGGTTCATGACCTCTCATTAGCTTCGTTACCTTGACCTTATCTCAACTACATACATCCACAAGAACCCCCAATTCCGATCCTAGCTAATAGTGCCCGATTAGAGAGCACGACGTCACGAATTTGAAAGCCCAAGTCAACCGTCTCCTACAAGGTGTCCTACACTCTTTTCGCCGCTTTTCTAAAAAAAAAAAGGCTAAGGGTATCGTACTTCGTCCCATCGTCAATAGCGTCTTCGGATACAACACCCTCTCCATCTATCGCACCCCAGGTTTCCCAACAAACATGAGAAAACCGCACTCCCCGCCTTCCCTCAATCGGATTTGGGATTGCAAAGGCTTAACCCCGACCGACCACCTTACCAATAGCTCGAAACCTCCCCAAGGACTTTCTTTCATTATTACCAACCAAAAATACCCACACGACCACAGATGGCAACATGAAAGATTACTCGGTGCTTGTGAGTATAGGCAGTGGGTTTAATTCGGTCTTGCGCCAGGTCCGTGAAAATCCCTTACCATTTGGGGGCATGGGACATGTGGCTATCTGTCAACTGAGAGCTCTTATCGAGGTGGTTTCCGGGCTTACCGAGCATCAGGCCATCCACCATAAAAAACAATTACCTATGTTCCCGGTTGGTTGGCAAATCCTATAAAAGCTTCTCTCTATCTACTATCGGGCCGGGCCGTGTTCAGTTATTTCACACTAGTGGCAATACTGTACGCTCCGAGCCACCCCAAGCGGCGGACACCCTGGCAATAAAGGCACGGCCCGCACCCCCTGGTTAGCTCTTCAACCTCACCAGGTGTCTCCAAGCGAACCAACCAAATACCAATACCGACTACATCCCCGTGCCGCCTGGGGGGTTTCAGGATTCAATCGGGGGTTATGAAAGAACAAAACACTCCCCACTTCCAAACATGCCATATCCTCTTGCTTCCAATTCAGTAGCACTCCCCACATTATACAAGCGCGCTCAGAGACTGACTGTGATGGTTTTGAGCCCTCCTCAAGACCCATTCTCACCAGAACCCCAGTCACTCTTTATAGGATGGGAGCAATACCAGCGCACGGTAAAAGCGCTCTGATGCCTAGAGCTTTGAGACCTTTTGGCGCGACGCTGGTTACTCGGGTATGAACGCCGGATACCGGACAGCCAGGGATTAGAGGGGTCAAAGCTTCTTGCTTGTTCGAGCAATTCTCATACCAGGCTCATTCTTTTATTTCCTATGAGGGCAAGAACGGTCAGGCCTCTGGAATCCCCGGCTGGCTGGTATCCGACGTCCATACCCGAGTACAGAGGGCCTCCCACCACCAGACTTATCAAATATTTCCCCAACAGAATTCCTTCGAAAAAAAAAAGTGCTACCGGTCGGGGATCACGATTTTTGGCTTCGTCCCAAACTTCGGGCACAAGATTTACATGGCTACCTCTATATAGATCGCAAAACTCCAATTGTGTGGTAATACCCCTTGCTTCAAATTGAACCTTCAGAAACTTGCTTAATTGTGATCTGGCAAGGGGCGGTGGCAAACAACATTTCATGCCATGGCACGATAGCCTCTACGATCCCGAAGGGCTTGAAATTAAACTTCACCAACTCCTCAGCAAGAGAGAGAAACTGACGTTACCCCCCACACAGACCCCTCTAACCAACGGTCACCTGGGGGTTGGGCAGCGCTACAGTTACAGTACCTTGGAGGCTATGATTGCTTAACAGGGAATGGTCTTGCTGTGGAAGAAGCGCCACCTATTAAACAGCTAGGATTATATAAGCTGTCCTCAAACCCGATTCAGTATGCATTTCCGCAAAGGGCTCCTAGAAGAATCCCCCCTAGTCTGCACGCCTGGTATTACCTATACTACAATCCGTACTCGCGGGGCAAGGCGTGCTTGATGGAGAGAGTGCCAAAGCGGCATATGGGGCAAAGTGATCCCAAAGGAGGGGATACCAGCGAGCCCACTGACTACTGAATCTCCTATAAAACGGGATAAACCCACTTTGGGTACTATGGAAAACATTTATAGGGAAGCCCAGCACCCACAGCGACACACATCACCCTGCTCGGATTCGCTTCTTCTCATCTCAGCTGCCCGACGTCGGTGCGGTACTTGATCGTGATACTGAGTTGTATCTAGGGAAAACCCCGCGAGTAGCGGGGAAGGGCTACAACTACTTTTGGGCCCTAGAAAATTGCAACCTGGTCTTAACGAGCTTAAGAGGAAAGGAAAAAAACTAATAGGTGAGAGATCTCTGAAGGGTAATGGGATTTTATCTTTGCTGCGTAGCCAGTTTTCTTGCACCAGGACCACAGTCCATATCGCTCGGGGATGTCTCGAAAAGTTTGCGTTATTGCAGACAGCTGATAAATCCCCACCCTACCAACCGCCCGCGCCCTAAAGCCCTCAAACGAACCTCGTTTCTCAATACGTAAGTCACATTTGTTTCTCTACTGTTTTAGGCCACCGGAGCCATATGAAGCCGACTAGGAAATTCCACAACTAATATGGTGGCATCAAGGGATGAGCGCAAATTTGAAGCACTGGAGTAGTATTATCCTCTATCCAGGGTATTGCGGCGGGGCCCGGCAAGGCGAGATCAAGGTGGTCAATAAATCATCTGAACAACAAATCGCCCGGCGGCCAATCACTAGTAAATTACCCCCAGATCACTAGGGCAAAACTCAGACCATTTCCCCCCAAAAAAGGAACCCGGAATATCCAAAGCCGAAGTGAGGAAATCTCCCACCCGGCATAAAGAAATTGGGCAATCTGAAAGCAAGCAGGATAACTGAGATTTTATCTCTCGTCACTTTGACCCTACCAGATCCAGCCATTCATTTAGTCCCACAAGACTATATTAATGAAACCAACTTGATAGTGACCTGTCGGCTAGCTATTAGCACCGCAGGCTATCTCCGCACCGGGCATCTAGGGGGAACACAACCTGTTCCTTCTAAAAACCACCTGACATGGCTCGATGCCGGCTTTGGATCAGGAACTTGCAAGCCTGGCGTAAGGGAAGCGATATATCCAGGCCCGAAGGATTATTGTCCTTATCTATTCGTATGAGCTCCCTTGAAATCCGGCTACAGGAATATTGTAAGGCTCCGGAGACGGGCCCTAGAGCCAGATTTGTACTAAAGTAATTCTCGGGTAGGCCTCCGAACCTCCCACCGCACTAGCTCGCCGCCCTCGGCACGAGTATGGATATCCCCATGTCTCCGATGGGACCTCTCATCCGCTGAGCATTTTGTCAGAAATGCGGTGCTGACGCTCGAGTATTTGCCGGCTCAGACACCACCGTGTCCAATAATGCCGTCCGATAATGAGGGCGGGTCACAAGATCACAAAGCCTACTCGCCATTGGAAGAGGAGGAGAGGGCGCTCCCACAGGGGGAAAACCACCCAAGCCAAGCCCCAAACCACTGGCGGCCATGAATTAACCCCTGATCCAACCTTCTCACCGAAAACCTGATAGGATCAGTCTCTTCTGGCTGCTGTTCCCAAGGGAGCTACTTGCAAGGCTCTCCATCCGAGAACAACCCCGCACACAGACCGTTCACAATGCCCCCCCCAGGCTCGATAAGCCGCAAACCTCTCTGCCAGTACTCCGGTGAACTAAAGTTCAAGTTTGCTGGAACAAATCTAACACTTAGCGGTCTCGTAGCGGTGCTCTGTCCGACATGAAAAAAAAAAAACGTCGTAAGTTTTGCTGGAGTTTCCCGTTGATGGACAGGTGACTGACGCTCTTTCGAGGTACAATGTGGCTGCAGGGCCAGCTGTCAGTGTGCGCGCGAACAATAACAATGTGCGAATAGTACAGTACAAGGCTATTGTCAAAAACACAGCAAGCGAGCACACCAATTAGCCTACGATAAGCGGACCACTCAGAAGTACGGGAATGTTGCGCGCCCCAACATATTATCGCGCAAGAATGATCATTCTCAAATGGACTTTGACTTACGTGTCCTTTGACGCTTGAAACTCTAGCTTAGGGGAGGTGCGCTCATGCTCTATGCAATCCCCCGAAAGCAAGAACGCAATGCCTAACAGCATCCCGCTTGTCATTAGATATGCAAAAATGCAACGGATGTGCAACACGAGATAACCCGAAAAGGGGCCCATCGAATAATATCAAACAGCTGTTGTCATGAAGCATGCCCCAATCCACAGCGGAAAATATGAGCCTATGCGATTACAATCTACGTTGGCTATTTTTGGTGCAGATTGCAGTCATCAACATGCCGACCCCGAATGACCTTGGCGGGCACGACTCGATAAGGGTAGAATCGGACATTCAATCCCGGACAATTTAACAACGCATCAGAAGAGCACAGCTCGCCAATACAGCACTGCGCATGGTTCGGCTTTTTAGTGAGCCCCGGTAGTTCCTCCGGCTCCCCCGACTTCGCAACTAGGTGGTTTACGTAAAAGTATTCCACCCGGATACTCCGCCCTCGTTTTCCTTTACAGTACATGTAGGCCTTATTTCCCGATTCCTATTATGATACAGGGCTGGCACTCTGCGCTCGCTCTCAGCCGGTCGAATTTCAAATTGACATTTTATAAACACGGAAACCCGGTTTCTTACTCTAGGCAGCAGCATCATGAGATATCACTCGCATTTCTAATGCAAACACCACCTAATAACCCACAAGAAACCATAAACGTTCACCAGAGAAGAAGATCACCGGGATATCAATGATGATTTGAAATCAACCCCGGAGTCCGGGGGTACGGATAGCTCGCTATTGATGCACACCCACCGACGATAGTCACGCGGGATAGCCTCAACAACGCCGCGGGGAAACCTAAAACCCACTTTGCATCATCGCCGTGCCGACAACTCACGCGCTAACGACGAGGCCGCGAATGCTGTTGCTTTGAAAGCACCTTTGGGGGGGGAGAGGAGGACAGCTGGCACCCGTGAGAAGATGTTCCCTTGCCTCCTGCAGAATGGCGTGGCGGCGCTCGTTGTTTGAGCACGGGAGTGTAAGAAGATAGCATCATACTCGAGCACAGAGTTTCCCCTGAGGTTTCCGAGTGCTGGCAAGGCTAGCTGATGCATATCTACAACGCAAGATTCTGATTCGGAATACCGGTACCGGTAAGTTGACCAGGTTACACAATGGCTCGGTTGAGGTGAGGTTAGCTTTCCGATTGCAGTATAGCAAGCTCATGAGGCCTGACACTTCCACATCACCACGCACTGGGTCTCCCAGTGCCTCGATGCATTGGTGGGCATTGGGGAACATCGCGGACACCCAGGCCCTTGAGCGCTCGTCGACTGGAACGAGGAAATGCCTCCCGTACGTGTTCTGTCACCGCCCGCGAACATGATCATTACCAGCGCACAATTCGGGTAAGCCTGGTCTCTGTTTCTGTATCACAAAATGGGGCGCTGTTGATAGACGAATGAGAAATCTGACATTATGCACAATGTGATGGCTGAGCGCTTCGTAGGCTGAGCCATTCTGACATGTACTGTACAATGCGTGCTGTATGTACGGTGCGGTGCTTCCCTCTGAATTCGGAATTCCAATGCATTACAGCGCTACTGATGCGATCGCTTCAGGCGTGGTGGTGGTGAATTCACTAGTTTCTGTGTATTCTGCTGGGGGTCAGCTTGAACACCCCCCGGTTGCGATATCGATATACGAGTATGATACAGTAATTTCTTCCTCCACTGCCTGTAGGGCACTTTCTAGGTAATTCTTTCGACTTTTACAAGTATCGGCACCCGAACATACGAGTCTGTGCCAGTGGTAGGGTGAGGCTCGTGAATACGATCGCTGCTGGATACTGCCCAGGTCGCGGCGGAATGCCAAAAATTTGGGTATATGCAATAGCGGTGGTGTCCACAAACGTCAACCCACTACTCGTACAGGTATGGGCTTGTGTCCTTCCCTCGCCTGCGATAACATAAGCGTTATCCGAGGAGGGAAGGGGAGGGGAGAGTGAAAAATAGAATATGCAGGTCAGGTTGGTCTACCAATAAAAACGTTCCGTGCGTTATTGCACCGGAGTGCCTTTTTCCACGACTACCCCATCCGAACAAGATGCCTTTGAGCATACATCCTCCGGATGCCTGCGAGCATCCACTGCGAGGGGGTTAAAACTTAAGGATGGCCTGCGGCTTAGGCTGGGTCTATCCCCAAGGGCGCGCCTTTCACTCACAACCCACAGCGACTCCAATACTCTCGACCCCGCTTAACAACCTCTTCTATCGCCTCGCGACTTCGCACAAAATTCGAAGATGGCCGCCGAAGTAATCTACCATCCGATATCAAACAAAACTCGAGCATTCGTGCACGCCGACGCTCTTTCTGCGTTTTCCTTATTAGCGATGAAACAGCCCCGGACCAACCGCCTGGCCGCCTGGATGCTTGATGAGGATGCCCCATTCGGCGAACAACCACCAGCAAAAAGGATTCAAGTTATTTTATGCAGCGTCCACAAAGTTCAGGTCCAGTTCACTAAGCAGACAAAACCTGTCAACAATATCGTCGCCGTGATCGCGAGATTGGCCCTACAAAACGGATATCCCCTCATAGCGCGAATTACGAGCGCATCCCACGGGCAAAGTCACGGGGGCCGTACGAGCCATTCTGGTCGGAGGAACAACGGCGACACAGGCCAAAATGCACCTGGATTCTCGGTTCCGTCAGGGGCAGGAAATGGCGGCGGCGGCCCGAGCAAGCGTTCGACCAAACGAGGCGGAGGCGGGGACGGTGAGGGCAACCCCAGCAAAAAGAAAAAGTTGTCGGATGAGCCGCAGGGCCCGGAAACGCATCCCTGCATCGTCTATCAGCTATTGACCGAGGGGAAGGATAAACACCCTTGCAAGGACAAGCTGTTTACCACTTTGGAGAGTGCAGTGTAAGTCCGGCCGTCCTTAAGCATGCGAACAGTGGTAGAATCTATACTCACCCACAGCCAGCGACCACCATCTGAGGATACACGTGGGGCATATACAATGCCCGACGTGCCTTATCAGAAAAGGCACTAGCACGGATATGGGCAAGCACCTGCGAACCGCCGGTTGTACGCCTCCAGCTAAAATCCGAGAGGAGATCGTGGCTCATGGTGACAGTGTTCGCAGGGTAAAGAGCTGGGATGACCTCAAGGAACAGGTTGCTCCTAATGGTAAAATAAAATATGATATGGCTAGTGACATTGACAGTATGTATCCAAAATTCCTGGGCGGCGACGGCATCCGGAGATGGGTGGATTTCTCTGATCAAGATCATCTGCTAACCAAAGCTCGCCATAGACTTGGCACGGCAACCTGTGGGTGAGGATAGGGATTTTTTTGAGCAACTGATGGCTCCGCTAGTTCCAGGCCAAACGCCATTCCCAGACATACTAGGGCTAGAAGGCATCCCCTTAGACCACACCCCTCAAGCGTCCGAAAACCCATATGGGTACCCCCCATGGTCTCACGGCGGAATCGGCCATGATTTGAACACCTTAACGACCGGCACAATAAGTCCTCAGCGTTTAGTCAAATCCGTTCCTGATAGCGGCTATAGCCCATCGACCAAGCCTGACTTCGAGGTTTACCAGCACAGCCAGGTATTAAACCAAACCAGCAGCGGAGGAGTGGGGTGGCTCATGAGTGGGAATGAGGCTCCGGAACAGGACTCAATTTCCACGCTCCTTAAGCGGGTGAATTGGGTTATCGAGACGTTCCAGGAGTACGACAAAGACCCAGCGAGCCACACAGTGGCTCAATCATGTGCTCGAACCATTGCGCTCGGGTTACCCGAGAGCATCTTGAAGGTGTTTGCTGAAACATATCAGGGTAAGGTAAGGCCAAAGAGAGAAACGCAAGTCCTCGGCGCGGCTAAGAGCAAGGAGGAAGAGCGTGAGTGATATCCTATGAGACCGAATTTGTGCCGCCAGAGAACTGAATGATCCTCTCGAGCAGAACACCGGGTTAGTGTTGATGGTCGCTAACCCCCCACGAGACATTCCAATGGTTCGGCTCATCTGTTGCAGCGGTAAGCCATCACCCTCTCCCGAAGTGGACAATTGTATGGAGGCTAATATACCCGTCCGCCAAAGACCTTCAAACCCGAACCGACAATTTCCGACAGGCTCACGCTGTCGCGGCATCAACGCGAAAGTGGATCCGGTTTTGAGGGTTACGGCGCAGTGAGGAACCCAGGCTTTAATTAATTCTCCAAATTGCAAAAGAAGGAAGAAAAAAGTCAAAAAGAGGGAGGTACGCAGGAGAAAGAGAGAAGGGAAAGGAGGGGAAAGCGAGAATCACCGTACAATATTGGGTAAGTTTAACGGGGAACATAGAGCGTCGGAGCCCATATACCGGTACTCTACCCGAGAACTTTCTCCTCTGCCACCGTACCCTACCAGAACAGGGCTGCCCCCAATGTCCTAAGATCGCATTCTTATCGAAGGGAGTGGAAAGAAAGAATTATTTCTTTGCGGATGTCCATTTTTTTTTTTTTTTGTTTTAGTTTCATATACCGGACCTTTCCCTTTTTTTTTTTTTTTGTTTTCCTGCACAGAAAGAAGATACAAAGGAACAGTTCCGCTTGGAAGGTGACGGGGAGGGTGGAGGGGAGAGATAGAGAGAGCCGCGGGCGCGTCAAGGGGACCACAGTACTCGAGTGCCGTAGGCATTCTATCCTTCCTGTTTGATTATCGCGACGCGACAACTTGAGCGCGTATAGAGTTAGATTTCGGGCGTGTCATGAACGAGCACGGGGATGCGGACCACGCGTTGTACTTGTACTCGTACTAGTACAAGCGGGGGGTGGCGGTGCTGGTGGCGGATGAGATGTTCTTTAGAAGAGAGGACGTGAAAGATTCCTTGTTCAAGTTGCACTGTATATTCATTCCCCTTTGTAAATAATGCGCGCCTGGCGAGACAAATCGGGGGGGGATATGGCAGTGAACGCTGTACATTATGTGTAGGAATTTTATGTCGCTCCATCTCAAATCAGAATTGTCACCAAGTCCAGACGACCCGAGATGATCAATTGGATACCAGTACAGTACTGTACGAGTACCGTACCAAGCCAGTCATTCGTTCATCCATTCCCTGAGGGAATTACTCGTGGCTCAAGTCAGCAAAGATCGGTACTTCACTTTTTTATGGCACCTCAACCACAGCGGTAGGTTAGCCCGTGCGGAGCTGGAGTCCGATCATGTTGCGCTCTTACTCGAGCATGCTGAGCGATCGTTTATTATGGCGTGAAAAACAGTGGTCCGAGTTCAGGGTGCCACGATATACCATGACGGGGGCGAAGTTTCCAACCCGTGACCTCTTCCACACGCCAATCCGCCCGCCATAGAAAGAATCCTACTTCCGGACTCTGAATACCCCCAGTACCGGTATTGCGTGCTGAGGGGACCTAGGCGAGGCCCGATTTTTAATGTTTTCCTCGGTCGCGAAAATGGGTGATTGGCACGGCCTTGTTGCTTAAAACGGTGCTCCTGTTCGAGAGAGATTGATGTCCTGGTGGAAGAGGTCGTGGTTTAGAAACTCGGCGCCGCCATGGTACTCGTACAGTACTCGTACAAGTACAGTACCGCATTCCGGTATCATGGTATTTTAAACACAGGCCCCTGATTTCCATGGCACGGTAAACGATCGCTCGAGGATGATACGGTAGCCCCCTGATCCACTACGGTAACTACCCGCCGCCAACCCCCCCAATGGATACGGCAGACGGTGGACCCGGGACCATAGCTAAGAAAGAAGGACAGAGCTCCCTTCAGAGCTATCCGCAAAAACAAAAACGCGTGTCGCCTCTCCCATACAGACATCCATTCCTTCTTCCTTCCCTCCCTCACTCCTCCAGATTACAGCCAACATCGTCAGGAGTCCGGCTCCCAATCAAATCAAGCCAGCCATGGAAGATATAGCGGAGACTCTCCGAGCCCTTGGTACCTCCCTATTCCCCCCTGCAAACGAAACCCTCATCTGATCAAGTCCAAACTCCAGGCTTTTACGAACGCTACTCCACAACCCGCCACACCTTGAACCTCTACAACAACATCGGGCTGACAGCGCACTACACCCTCCCCCCAGCACTTTTAACGAAGCCACGGATCTTCTCCGCTCTAAAGGCTCTGATAAATCTCCACCCGCCGCTGGCCGTGACAATCCTAGGGGAGAACACGAGTGAGCCGCGGTTCGCGCGATTGAAGAGTATCGACCTGGAAGAGGTCGTGCAGACGATACTGCTGCCGGGTGAGGACACGGCCGCTGAGCTCGACACCGTGCTTTCGGAGCAGCATTCACAAGGTTTCGAATTGGGCAGGGTACCCGGGTGGAAGTGCTTGATTCTTCGAAATTACGAGGATGAGGTTGGTGATGTAGCTTCAGGAGCGGTGGGAGGAGGAGGGAATGGGAGAGTCTGGATATCGTTCATATACCACCACTCCATAGCCGACGGCGTCAGTGGATTAGCCCTGCACAGATCGCTCCTCAGCGCACTCTCCCGACCTCACAAGAATCCCACCTTTGCCGGCCGCTATGTCGTCCACCCGCAGCGAAAAGCCTACCCCTCCTCCCTTGAATCGCTGATCCCCCTCCCGCTCTCCCTCCCACGCATCGTCTCGGAGGTCTGGTCCAAGGTATACTTCCCGCCTCCTCCGCCCCCAACACTCTACACCGGCAGTCCCACACCCACCTGCCCAACCCCCGCAACCACAAGAACAATCTACAAATCCCTCCACTTCGCCGCGAAAACCCTCAAAGTACTACTCTCTGTCTCCCGCAGGGAGAACACCACCATCACTTCCCTCCTTACCGCAATCATCGCCACGGCAACCTTCCAAGCGATACCGGGGAAGTTTGACAAACTCACCTCATCGACGCCGATCAACCTCCGTCGTTACGTGCCCACCGAGAAAATCCAAGAAGCAGCCATAGGCGCATACGTCGCCAGTCTCCAATCAGAATTCTCACGCTCCCCCCCTACACCCTCCAACCTATTCTCCATCGCGCGCGAGCACACAGCGCAGATCAACGACCGCCTAGATGCCGGCACGGCGGACCTGAACGTGGGCATGCTGCGCTGGGTCAGCGACTTTTTCGCCTTCTTCAAAGGCAAGCTCGGCAGGCAGCGGGAAGACAGCTTCGCCGTGAGCAATGTTGGCGCCTGGGATGGCGAGGCGGGCGTCGACAGAGTAGTATTCTCCCAGAGCGGGGGAGTCGTCGGCCCCGCCATGGAGTGGTGCGTTGTTGGCGTTAGGGGCGGCGGGTTGGTCCTTGGCTGTACCGGGTGCGAAGGTGCTGTGGAGGCCCGCGTGCTCGAGAGGGTTTTGGAGGGTGTTAGGAAGGGTGTTGAGGGTGTCGAATGAGTTTTTGTGATGGGAGGATAGACTCTTTTTCTTTTTCAACTTTTGGAAGAAGAGGAGATGAAGAATAAGGCGTTTACTGGGGGCAAAATTTTGTGTGCTTTTTTGTAATTATAGATATATATCTCCACTCTGATGGTTTGTTTTGGTTTGGTTGTTATATTAATGCCCTCACCATAGCACCGGCACTAAAGGTACAGTAAGAACATTACTGTACCAAATAGGTTAGCGTAGTTAGTACATAATGTCAATTTCGAACGAAATCTCAACTCTTAATGGATAGCTTGAACTGGATGAAAGCGGAGCAGCGAAGTGACGGGCCGTATTCGGCGGGAGTATTATACGGTACCATCCAATAAGCCTTTCGAGCCCGGTGGGGGAAGAGCTTTGTTTTTATCTATACAGGACTTCAACGGTTTGTCTGCTTACCGTGGTCTTTTGCCCATTCCCCCATTTCCTCCCTGCCATACCCCTCCCTCCCTCCCCAGCTGAACAAATCCACAAACAAACCTCGACATACAAGAATTCCCGTGCGCTCTTGCTACCGTATCCACACTTCGCACCATGGGAGAACTCCTAACGGTATGTTGAGACCGCACACTCTGCAGGACTCGACAAGTGCTGATCTGTACATACTCTCGGAGGGGGGGGGGGGGGATGCCGTGAGGTGTACAGTACAGTACCACAGATGCGCAATGAAAACTTCCCGGTGCCGCACGACCCATTCTCTATCACCGCACTGAAAAGGTGGGGTAGGAGTTGATATCATACCAACATCACGAAAAGTCCGGAAGAACCATTTATCGCAAGAATATCGTATCGTAGTGAAAAGTGCGTTTCCTTTTGTAGTATAATAATGTCTGGCAATAATTCTCGACTAGGACTGATCTTTTTCGATATCGTGCTTGTGTCCTGTGGTATCGTACCGCTCACACTCCCGCATTCACGGTTGGGCTATTTTAGTATGTTGCGCTGTTCGTGGTGTGCGCTGTCTGCTTGGGATGGTGGGGTGCTATTGGGGGTGGTGATGAAGGGTTATGTGACGTTTGCTTCCTTGCCCGGTTGGTGGGGGGGTTTATTGCTGGCGGGCTGGTGGCTTTGGGGATATTGTGTTGTACCTGCAGTGCAGGAGAGAAGTGTGATGGATTGGTAGGGTACCAATGGGTTCTGTGCCATTCACATCTAAAATGGTATAAACCACTCAACTCTTCATTCACGGTGCTGGTCAAAAAAAAAAAAATTGGGCATCTCTTATCACACATCCATAGCGGATGGCAGAGTGGCAGTGGTTCTAGGGCCACTACACCCGTCCATCCTCCTCTCCGCCGGAGGTACAATGCCCCCCCCCCCCCGGGGACAATTGAGCATGGGCAGAAACGGGTCAAGAGCCATGTTCCCCAAGAGCGCAACCTTTGCACCGGGTTCTGCAGGGCCGCCCGGGATTAGGAGAAGGTACAGAAATGAGTTGAGATAAGTGAGTGGAGAAGGAATCGTGGATGTGAATGTATCTTGGCATTGTCCGGGAGGTCCAAATTTAACTATGGATATTCCTAACAAGATAGCGGCGGCAACGCATGCCTGGGAGGGAAACTTGAGATGGCTGTACAGTCTCTCAGGACAAACACATTCACCAGCCCCGAGTTTGAGTGAATGGAAGGGAGGAGGAGAGTGTGTGTTGGGAGTGGAGGAGGGGGGAGAGATGAGCGGGACTGATGGCTCTACGAAAGTCTCAATCTCTTTCTCTCTCCTCTCACTTCCTCCTTCCTTCCTCCTTCCTTCCTCCTTCCTTCCTTCCCTCACCCTCACCTTGCAGTTGCCCCCGGCCCCTTCAGAAATTTTCTGGGCTGGAAGAGGTATAATTGAGTGAGTGAAATTAGTCCCCGCACAAATCCTCATATGAATTATTGGGGCCCTATTATTTCTTCAAAACATGGTAGCTATAGGCTTTCCCAGGGCACAGCGCAGTCCGCGTGCGTGTGCAAGCACGTACGCAAACAAATACTCATGACAAGCTTCATCTATAGTTCTCAACACTCCTAGCCCCATATATCTCGGGTTCAAAACTACACGAGTGATTTATTGTGATGAACATGATCCCTACCCAGATTTTCAGCTTCCAGACTCTACCAGAGGAGGGAGGGATGCTCAGCCAAGGATACTAACCTATCAGTGTAGAGTGCCCAAGCTCCTCCGAGGAAGGAAATAAAAGATAGGGAAGGGACTGAAATAAGCCCATCCCACGGCAACCCACCAGGATTGAGTAAATACCCCTTCGCATCCTCTAGAAGTTGATTAGTATTGACAGAGTGGTGGAGCGGAGCGTGCAAGGAGGCTAGACTAGCGCCCTCACTGAAAAACGGCTCGTCAACCAGAGACAAACAATTCCAATCACCAAACTTCCCCACCCCCACCCCCACCCCTCTCAAACAAGTTGTGTATATATATATATTACCCGGGTAGCAAACAAAAAGGCTACCCACCACTCTTACCATTTTTCACCCACCCTTTTGAAACCACATGAAGGTATCGTATGGAAAAGCACCACCACAGACCATATCGACCGAAACCCGCTAATTCGAGACTTTTGCGAAAGTCTAGATGCGAGTCAAACGAGGTTCCGGACCAATGAGACGGCTAGGATTTGACTGGGACTCTTGATGCGAAATCGCAAAGTCTCTATTAGGCACCACCACACATAGATACCCAACCTCGCGCGATCCAATGACAATCAGTTAACAAAAACCTAAACAACACGGGAGAGATAAATACGATACCGGACCAGGCCATCCCACCACAACTTCCTCCCCCCCCACTATCCTTATCCCAAACCGACATAACCCTAACCACACCTCAAAACCCGCACAACATGAACCCCTCAAGGCTTCCAAAAAAGAAAAGAAAAAAAGAAAAAAACTCCCCACCGCGCTCGGAGAAAGGACGTATTCCAAATTGCGAGGCATCATAAGCACAAAGTAATATCATACCTTCTCTCACACGACAGATAAAACCCACCAACCAAATCCCGACCATCCAAATCAACCCGCACCCTCTAGGATGGGATGGGATGGGATGGGATGGGATGGGGGAGGAGTGGTGGTAAAACCGAGCCTTCCATCAAAATCCCAATTCGTCGAGTGGATTCGGTTGCGAAAGTGAATTATAATAATGAGAGCCCCGTCGGGTGATGGAAGTGTTTTGGTTTGATGGCAGAGTACAGTGTGATAATGTACTGTAATATCTCCGATTCTCGTCGGCGGGCTCGGGGAGAAGAGCATAGCATGCGCTGCCGGTCGCGCCCGGCCGTCGGGTAGTAACACTTGTATGGGTGTATGATACGGTACGGTACTATACTCGAGTACGAGCACTGTACAGCACAGCACAGCACAGCCCAATCCCTAACACGCATCCGTGACAAACGCGGCGAGTGCCAAAAAAAGTCAATCCAGACCGGAATGGAGAACGCAGGGTATATTCCGGTATGATATGTAGCCAAAAAGTCACAGGTGGGTTGGTTGCCATTTTGGCCCCGGGAATTTCGTGACTTTCAAGGACTATTCGTTAACTCTCCCGGAAAGAAAAAAAAAATGGGGGAGATAACGGAATTAGTTAATCAAAGCAGAAATTGTGGGCTTTATTTACCATTGCTTAGCCTATGCCAGTGGGAAGAAAGAAAGAAAGAACTGTGCGGTTTTTGTAGGCCCCGGTGAGCGCTGACGGCTAAATATACATATATCATATGATATTATGTATAATATCTTCATAAATTGTTGCCGGAACACCTCTCGACACAAAGAAACTGATATGATATGGTATGATATGATTCAAAGGCATCTCTCGTCCATCCCTAGCTCCCAGTGCTTCAATATTTCCCTCCAAAAGTCTATCGACAGCATAATATTTTTTTTTCCAGAAACAAGTTTCCATAAGACTCCGAAGAATTTATCAAATTATATATATATAAAGACAATCAATGAGTTTTCCGGACGTGTGATATGATAAAAGTTCCAAATTTCGGAGTAATGTAAAAAAAAATATTAAAAAAAAGCCAACCCACTCATGATTTTTTGATGACAAGGCTCCGTATGACAACCAGTAACAGTGCAGTGCAGTATCATACCGCGACCACAACAACCACCAAACAACATCCAAAAAAAAAAAACAAACCCCCATACCGACCCACCACCAGACCTCCGGTTATTCCTGCTCGGGTAGGGTACAAGTACAAGTACGATATCAAAAGAGGAAGAGAAACAGCCGTGACAAATTAACCAAGCCAATCAACCCATCCGGACCAAAAACGCAAACGCAACGCAACGCAACACAAGACCACACCACACTACCGTATGCTCGAGCACGGTAAAGGCACATTAGGCCCCCAATCCAGAGCACCAGAACAGCACTGCACTACACTACACTACACCACGCAACCCAGGGCCAACCTTCAATGCAAAACCATCCAGCCTGACCCGCGTTCGGTTGTCGATGGTGTGTCCGTCCGAATATGTCTAGACGCTCCCCGGTACGGCTTTGTGGGGGTCGGTGGGGATGAGGAGGGTCCCCGCATCACTCAGTATCTCACAAGGCTATCGTACTTGTTTGTTAGTTTGTTATGGATCTTCGCGAGCAGGTAAAGTGAGTGGGCAAGGTGGGCCGTTCGTTCGGTGCAGTTTCGAATATTCGTCGTCGGCATGGTGAGGCAAAGCGATTGGGGACTGCCGCACAGCACATCGCGCAGTGCTGAACTCGGGTGACGTACTACAGCACAGTGTATGGTCTGGAATACAAGCACGGGTGCTGTGCAGTACTCCCGTTCAGGATATTGTGTCCGACTTTCACTTCGGACGTTGCCAGTTGGGACACCATGTTAGCCTTGAGCACCCCATCTTACGCAAAGAGTCGCAGGGCGCGAAACAGGAGTAACTCATCGCATCGAATTCAATTCACCCTTCGCCTACAAGTAGACCAGCTCGCCATAACCCGTCACATCATATCAATCGTACCAAATACATGTACACAAAGCCCCCCTCTCAGAAATCCCATCCATAAAACTCCACCCATATTCACAATAACGTAGGCTAAATAATGCTCGCTCACCTAGCGGCCATCACCGAGCCCAAGTCCAAATACACAACACCCCAAAATCGTAAACCCATGCTGAAACTAATATACGAAAAGAAAAATAGAATAGAGAAGACGGTCATAAAAAGACAAAAAATAGAAATTAGAATTATGATTCGACTAAGACTAGTATCCCCTCCTTTCAGCTCCCCAACGTCTGGGGACCTCACCAGTCGTCATGGCTCTGCGGAACATGGGGTGCGCATGAGCCGGGTGTTGATGCCAAGGGTCGTTGAGACCAAGACGGCCAGTGTTGAGTCCTCTCGGACGCCAATCAGCGACAGGATCCCTCGGCGCGGGTGCGGGTGCGCGCCAGAAACTCGCATCAATAAGTTCTCTCCTATCAATATCGAGATCGTATTCTGCTGCAGAATTGTGGTTTCTTCTCCGACGGGACAACTGCATGCGTGACTCCTCGTATATTGGGCTGACGGGCTCGGGCTCAGGGATTTCTAGATTGCGGAGGTATTCTTCTACATGTGCTTGGCGGGCTTCGCTGAGGTAGCGGCTTGGTGGCGGTGCTGGTGCTGGTGCTGGTGCCGGTGGGGCGGGAAGGAGGAGGAGTTGTGGGGTCTTCGGGTGGAGTGGCTCTGGCTCCACACGTATGGGGGAAGGGCGGGGCTCGAGCTCTTCCGCCTCTTGAAGGAGATTGACGAGGTTCTCTCGGATCTCTTCGCGGCTACGGTTGTGTCTAATGCGTGGGGGTTCTGTTCTCCTCCGCTCAACACGGGGTGGTTGTTGGAGCCGGGGAACACGGGTTGGTGTGAGAGTGAGAGAGGGAGCTGGATCACGCGCGGCCTGCGTTGCCTGGACATAGTCTGCTGCTAGTCTCCTGATGCCGTTCCGTAGCCCCGTGCCGATCGTGCCCAGGGTGGCGAGTGCGTCTATTTGCAGCGGGCTCGGGAGGTAGTATTCATCACTATATCCTGGGGTTACCGGTGCACGGGCTCCTTCCTCCTGCGCTAGCCTACGAGCAAACTCTTCATCGGCACGGAGCTGTTCTTCGCGGGCACGAGCGCGCTGTTCTCTCCGCTCGGCGAACTCTGCAGGGAGGGGTGGGGGAGGTTGGTCGGGGTTCCAGATGGGAACGACATAGTCGTCTTCTTCAGGCTCGTAGTTAAACCAGGGGCAGTTACACGTTTTCCACTTCTCACCACAAATGTAGCAGAACTCTGCTGTGCATCGGCAACTAAGATAATCGTTAGTATAGGGCATACTCCAAAGGGCGGGGTAAACCCACGTCATGTGATTACAGCCCCTCTCCAGCTCAACTACCGCCCTACAGCTATAACATCTTTGGAACTTATTCTGCTTGGCCGTCTCGATAAACTGCATCAAGTCCTCATCCTTGGGGCACTCCCCATCACCATGAGCCTTTCCATTGCACAAGGCGCAGACTTTGGTCTTGCATCGCGAACACTTCCCGACACCGGCTTCAATATCCTTAGGCTGAATCCATTCGCCACAGTTCACCTCGGGGCAGTAGATGCGATTAGAGGTAGTGTACTCGATGTACTTCTTGTTCCACAACTTCTTCGTCTGGTAGCTGAGGAGTTTGTCCACATGCTTCAGAGGAACGTGCTCGTCATTACAGCACTTTGGCGGCATATGAGCCGGGTCGGTCAGGGACAGTGTAAATATTCGCTTGAGACATTCATGGCACCACGAATGATCGCATGCGAGATGCGCTGCTTCATTGTACGGGATGTCGTCGGCCAGACAGGTAATACATTGGACACTAGCCAACTTAGCTGGTATCAACATCGCCAGCAAGGAGATACCTACAGTTTTTCCGGCTTCTCGGCAGTCAGCCCTGATACTTGCTTTGACCTTTTCAAAATCGGTTTGACCGGTTCGCTAATCCTAACTTTGGCCTTATCCTCGCGCTTCCTCTCCACCTTTGGTTCCTGAATCCTAACTTCCACCCTCTTTGGGGCGGCAACCGGAACCGCCGCTGGCTCAGGTACAATCTCGATATTCAGTTCTGCCTGCTTCTTCTTCTCCCTTTTCTCCTTCTTCTGGGTACATCGTTGGCAAAGAGCTCTGAGTTCTGGAGTTGAGTGATCATCGTGGTGTTTGTGATGTCGCTGGCCCGTGCTCGTTGCAGGGGCAAGCTTTGACAGATCTTTAGCCGGCCTAGTACTATTTCTATGGATCCCATCAGGGGCGACTTTTAATCGCGGGTCTGGTCGTAGCCGTGCGTCCGACCTAGTCGCCCGCAGAGAATGATTCGACCGAACCCTTCTGGGTCGCCTTAGACTGATGGATCGTGATCGTGAACTAGAAAAACATCAGCAAGGACGAAATTTCGGCTAGGGCGCTAGAACAAACCTGGATATACCCAGGACATCCTCAACAGAATAACGGTTCTTTTTATCTTTCCGAACAACTTCGACCACTTTCTTTGATGCCAGTTGCTGTTGGGGCGGCGGTAGTGGAGATGGTTCTTTCTTTTGTCGATACCTCTCCTTTTTCTCTCTTCCTTCCCGCCGTCCCGCCTCATCCACGGACTCTCTCGCATCGCGAGCTCTTTTCCCCTCCTTTTCAGCCTTTCGCTTCCTTCGCTCCCTTCGCTCCTCCCTCCTCCGTTCTCTCTCAGCCGGATCCTCCCCCTCATGCGATGATGATCTCCTCCTCGAAGATTTTGACTTCTTCCTCTCCTTAGCGACCGGCGATGGGGATGAGGTGCGGACAATGGGGCCAGCCATTCTCTTTCGTGACCTTCCTCGAGCCTCGCAGTTCACAAAGTATTCCTCACGGTGGTTTTCGTATAAGCGTTCGTGCCCCTCGCCGTCGTTATATTCGTCCCCGGTGAAATACGCGACCACGTCAATCTCAGGCGATGTATTCCTAGTGGATGGCGGGCCTTTTCCTGGGTATAATTCGTCGGGATAAGGCCGATGTGTGTTTTCTACTCGTCGATGAGTATAACCGTAGTTATGTTCTAAGCTGGTGGAGACAGAAACGTGCGAGAGAGAGCCCCCGCTGTCGCTGTCACCCACACCACCTTCTTGAAAATCTTCTTCCTCCTCCCGGCCAACACCGCCAAGGGAAAGGTCGTACGGGGATAAACGAATTTTAGTGGGAGACGCAGCAGAGAAAGGACGGAAATACCCTTTCTCCTCCTTCTCCTCCTCCTCCTCCTCATCCTCTTCTTCCTCCAATTGTAATTTACTTCCAATCCTGCGAATCGCCTTTTTCGCAGAGTCACAAAAGGCATCAAGTCCAGTGCTCCACTTTGGCCATGGCCAGCGAGTGCTTTCCACGTCGCTAAGCCTGGCGGCCGACGAGTGGGAAGCGTTCATCATAATCGAGCGATGGAATCCTTGTCACTTACCCGCCAGGGGTGGGTTGGAGAGGGAAAAAAAAAAAAGGGTCGAATTAATGCGATGCAGAATGTCTATGAATGACGCGAAAATATGACTGGTCCCTCGATCATAGCCATTCAGCCGAAGTCAGTCTGAACCCGAATGAATGAAAAAAATCCAAAAAAAAATCGGGACTCTCCTCCGTAGAGAAGGGGAAAATGGTGTAAAATAAAATAAAATAAAAGGAACTGACTGACCTTCCAAATTTCTACCGGGACCAAGAAGAATAGGTGAAATGGAGAATATAAACTCAGTTATATCTCTGGGCCACCAGACAACCCCAAGCCGAACTAAAAAAGAAACCACTTTGCCCACCGTAGTCCGTCCGCACAGATACAGATAGTAGCCTCAAGTCCGTCGAGAAGAGGGACGGGGGGAGCCCACGGACACATCGTGATTCTTATTACTATCGCCAGGAGAGCATTTACAAGGAGTGGAGAGGGAAAAAAAAGGAAAAAATTGCCCAAGCAGAACAACAACAGTTTGTGTGAGTTGGCACACACGCATCCGGCGAACCAGCTATCTGTGACGCCGTGAGCAAGAGCTTACAAGAAGCGAAAGGCTACCAAAATCCTCGTGAACCCATCACTAGCCAACAGCCCGTCCCTCTTTCCTGATCACGCGAGGGAAGCAAAGAGATGCCATTCGAGTAGAAGCAACAACCCAAAGCCACTGTTTCACTGGGAACAGAAAGCCCCCAGTTCTACTACACTACAGGTACCGTGGCCATCCCGTTTGCTAATGATACCGGTGCTCGAGTAGCACGAGAGCCGTATCGTACGTGGATGTGGGCCCCCACGGGCGGAAGATCTACACCGTTGGAAAACAAAAGTCATAGTACCGGTACTGCACTGTAATTTACGAGTACGAGTACTCGAGCATCACATAGTATCGATAAGGAGGTTCCTGGCACGGTCAACGACTGGAGCCACGGGGGCCACGGATAAACTAAACGGGTTCCGCAGTTAGGATAAGTTTCTGTCTTAGAGCGATGATGTATCACCTCATCTTGGTACTTTAGCGAGACGAGTGGAGTAATGGAGTGTGCGGGGCGGGGCTTGGTTGGACTTGTGCTTTTAAAAAAAACGGCAGACTCGGGAGCAGGAAATGGCGGGGAAGGGTAAACATGTGCCGACAGGGCAGAGCTTGCTCACGAGAGGCGACTGAGGAAAGGCATCCCGTGTGATGAGAATCCCTTTCCCGATTAGAGTCTTCTGCCATCGCCATTGAATACCGGGAATAGAACTCGAGTCGCAAAACGTGCTCATATGATGCCAGTAGAGATGGAGCACGAAATGGCACGCGGCGCTCATCCTTCGCCACCATTGACGGGCTCGTGTAGGATCGGAGGTTTTATTAATACTCGAGTACGAGTACCGATGTCAAACCACCGATTATTATGACGAGTGAAGCCTCCGTCAAAATCTACAGTGCCCCTTTGTGAGCGTAACTCACGCGGAGCAGCCAGCGCTGGGACAGGATGTCAACCGAAGAAGTATGCGAACTAGCCACAACGCCCACCCTGCAAGCCAGGAGCCCAACGATGATCTGCGCAAGGTTAGTTTCCGGTAGGACGGGGTAAGCTTAATAAATTAGCATAGTCTATCATCGAGCGGTTCATTGAGACACTGTAACTTAGCACATTGTACCTGCTGGCGAAGGACTGGCTCGTGCTTCTGTTAAGCCCGAACCCTGGTTTCCGAAAATTGCACCCGTTACCCGCGTACGATTTGGTGTTTCGACAATATATGTGCTGTGCCAAATAGCCCAAAAAGCAACATTGTAATTCATGAGCCCTGGCGAGTGCACAAACAGGTGATTAAGGGTTCAAAAACTCCTTGGGCCCAAATCCCGTGCTCGGTCCTGCCTTCCCTCCCTCATACCAGACGACCGAATGATAGATTCGGTATTCGGAGATGCAAACGTTTAGTCCCAGGCCACCCCATTTAAACAGACTACGGGTGAATCGGGAAGGGTACGTGGTAAGTGGTGAGGAAGGAATTCAGAAGAAAACCCATCCAGAGATTCATCTCCTGGAAGGATTCTAGGATTGTAAGTTAGGAGTCTCTCTAGCCCCCTCCCCCCCATAGGTCTTGTCATAGATGGGGCACCAGTGGCCCTTCAAATGCACTCCGGCATCCGAGTGGCCGCGTCACAAAACGGTCCACAATATCTCCCCTCAAGTTAGATCGTGACGCCCATGGTATGATACAGCATCAGACTGGCTCGAGAAAGGCCCTCTTTAATCAGCAATGCTCGTAGTTTTTTGTCATTTTGTGGATGATACGGTAGTTTAGGTCGGGGGTGGTGGATGCATCGAAGTTGAGGTCTTTCGATTACTGATAACCACGTGAGGAACTCGCAAATCGTCCCCCGTGAGACCGTTGAACAACAGTCCATCAACTCAATCCGTCACCGGACAAAATCGGAAGCGTCGACGGTATCATCGCCGGACTGGTAGACTGCTAGTAGGATTGACTAAAATAGAATGTGCCCCACAGCCACTTTTCTCAGCTCGAATACTGACTGTGCCGTGCCGTAACACTCCAGCACCGTACCAGATGTTAGCCCGCCCACCACTATTGTCTCTAGGACCCGGATATCTGCTTGAGTGCGCACCGCCATTTTCGCCGTGATGCTATGATTTCACACCCGCCAGAACTCCCCACCCCGGGACCCTCCCGCCTCGCCTGGTCACCGGTGGAAGGAAAAGTTTCGAGTGACACCTCATGACCCATCTAACAGGCGGGGGATACTGGTATATACTGGTGGAGCACACTACCCTACTAGGCGTCATGGCATCGCAATCACGACAAAAAAGACACCGAGAAATAAATCATATAAGCTAAGCTAACCCCAACCAACCAACCAACCAACCAACCAACCCGGAGCTAAACCACAGACATAAAAGAAAAAAAGTCCGGGTCTGTTCTATACGAGTATGAGTATACGAGTACCATGGTAACTAGCTAGGTTACGGCAAGTACGGGAGCGAGGGGCTATGAAACGGCGAGAGAAAGCGAAGGGAAAAGGATCTGCAGAGCACCGCCGAAGGGAAGCTGAAAAGAGTTTGTGGGTATGGCGGATGGGGCATGTAGGGAATTTTTTTGGGGGGTGATTTGCACATTGGGGCTGAAGGGAAAAAGAAAAGAAAGCAGAGGGCTCAATAGTTTGGTAGGAGGGCAGGAGAAAAAAGTGGGAAGAAGGCGGTGGGAGATATACTTGAGTAGAGGAGAGGGGAGAAAAAACGAGAGAAAGCTTAGGGTTTGGTATGATAGACGAAGAACAGAATTACTTTTACACCTCGCGCCGCAAGAAACCCCCACTTACCAGCCCACTAGGGAAACAAAGTGAGAAAAGAAAAAGGAGGAGCAGAAAGAAAGAGACTACCAAACAGCTTCCCCACCTAATTGATACTCTCCCTGAAAGCGCTCCTCCTCTCAGAGTCTACACTGGCCCGACCGCCTTTAACCCCGACCCCGCCAAACCCCTCATCCCGATCTCTAACCCCCTGCAACTTAACATCCACCGCGAAGGGATTCAGCTCCTCCGGATACGGGGCAGTCCTGGTTCCCAAATCCCTGGGCGGATCCCGACTCCTGCTCCTCCCCCTCTCCTCAAACCCGTTCCCCGCTGCGCCTCCGCCTCCCGGCCCAAGTCCAACATCCCTGCCCCTCTGATTCCCATACCCAGCGCCGTACCCGCTCTCGTCCTCCTCTTCGATCCTGTCATCCCATTCCCCATCCATCTCGCGGGTGCGCTGGGAACGCACGTTGGAGCCGGAATAGCCGGAATTGTTGCTACCAAAGACACCGGTGATTTTCCCGACAAATCCGCTGCGCGAGGGTTCGTATGAGGCTGGGGCGGGGGCGGTGCGGGAGTTGTTTGGTAGGAAGGGGATGTATGTGCGCCAGGTTGGGGCTGGAAGGCCGAGGCGGCGGGCGCGGAGTTGGGTGAAGATCTATCAGAGTTAGCGTTTGGGGGAGTAAGGAGAAGGGGGAGAGACAAGGGGGGGGGACGTACGATCCAGCCAGCACCAGCAGATAGTAGGAGTAGGAAGATTACTAGCGCGGCAACTCCCCCGCCGGACATTCCGCCCGAGTCGTCGGATGGGGAGTTTGTTGGCGAGGGGGTTGCGGTCGAGGCGGGTGTTGGGTCTGCGGGGGTTGGTGCCATCGTTTCCGTATTTTTCTCGCTTTATTTTTATTTTTTTTTATTTTTTTAGGTCGTGTTTGTGTTCCACCAAGGCAGTGGTTAACGGGAGGTGCTTGTAGCGGTTGATGATGAAAGGTGAATCAGTGAATGGGAGTGGTGCTGGACACAGTGAAATTGAATGGTGGTAGGTGGGCAGACGAGGGAGATCAATGGGAGTCCAAAGGAGAGTGGGCCTGTGCTAGGCTTTACTGATGTCACCTTAGCGCGTGGAAAGCTTAGTCAGCTTGCCCTTGGAAGTTGCGTTTGCGTCTTTCTTTTGGCTTGGTTTGGCTAGAGCTTCAATGTTCCATCAAATTTTACTCTTGGTGTTTCGAGATGGTGGAATAATGGGTTGCATCTATAGTATGTGTGCGTTGTGCTTTTTGCTTTCGTTGTAAAGATTGAAGTCTGGTATCGTGCATTATTTGCTTTTTAGCTGAATGCTTGAACACTCCTGGGGAATGCTCTTGGACCCGCACAAGTTATTTTTGCAACGTTTTACTGTGTTGTCTCAACCAGCAGCCTGTCTGGTGCGTTCCCTGGGCATTTGAGGCAATATTTCCTGCATCCTATCTTAACCGTTGACTGGGCCACCGGTAAATACAAACTATGATATTACATTACATGGATTCTCCAGCGCGCTCAAATGCGCAGCAGACACCGTAGACCTTTAAAGGATCCCAAACTGTGCTACTGTAGGGCCCCGATCTTTATCTTGAGCCTTGTTCCCCTCGACTACGAGCCTCACCCATCTGCTGACGGTAGAGGTGCTCTGGTCAAACATTTGTGTCGTAGTGTTTCCTGTTCTCATCCTCACAATCAGGGCATCGTCCTCGACCCATGGGTCGGTGATCTCTACTTTATCACTGTGGTATACCCGGCGCCATGTTGCGGGCGCAGTTCCGTTACCACCGACAAGGAGCGTCCAGGATTCCGGTGGCTGTGATGCCCAATTAAAGCTCACACCATTAATTACCGTGGGGGTTTCCAAATCCACGGTTAAGGCTGAGGGCTTAGAGGTCGCTGATTGCCAAACTGTGTGGTTGCTTCCGTCCACGGCCGCAAGAGGGAATTGGCCTGGATACCATGGAGTATCCGCCTCCGCGTGCTTACATTGTGCCTTATTCCCGGGAAGGTCGGTGCCGTTCAAGTCGGGGCGACGAGTAGGGATAACGAGGGATTGGCCGACAGATAATTTCCAGTCTCCAGCCATTTTATTCCGAGAACCGATCCTAACAGTGACGAGTCCTGGGATATCATTTGAGCGCCTATGTGCTTTCGGGTGGAGCCTAGTGATCGTAGTATTGGTGGAATTGACGAGAACATCAAAGGCGGAACCCTGGTGTTTCATCCCTTTTACCTCTATTCCTTCAAGTTGAGGAGGAAGAGAAGGATCAAGGTAGAATGCGTCGAGACGTGGACGGTACCCGGTGAACCCGTGCGTGGGAACTTGAAGGAAACCTCCGTGTCCAGTTAGAAATGTGAATGCGGGATTGGTGTTACCGTTCTCGTTGATATTGTCGTTAATTTGCTCACTGAACTGATAGTATGGTTCGCGAAGGTAAGGCTGGGAGGCATAGAGTAAGTACGTATAGCTCGCGCAGCCAGCAGGCGAAAGATCCGCTGCATTGATAGCGAACATTGCCCATGTCATGGCAGGGCCGTCCGGTGATTGAGCTCTAGCATACTAGGAAGAATGTGAGCAAGAGAAAGAATGAAAGTGGCTAGGAAAACCTACGAAATCTAGATCATTCAAAGCCTGGCTCTCGTTAAAACGGAATTCAAGTGGGTAATTGATCAACACTACATCTGCTTGCTTGATTTCAACGCTCCCGTTCATGGTTCCATATTCTGGGACAATGCCTGCGTTGGTGTTGAAAGGTATAAAGATGTTCTCCTCAACAGCTTTCCACTTGCTGGGCGCAGCTTCACCAACAATCTTTGCCGCCGCCCGAGCAATACCCATGATGACCTTGATGCCGGCATTTGTGAAAGCACCGTTATCAACATGATTCGCGTATTCATCCTGCCGTTCTAATTAGCAAGCGGTACTTCAAAGCTGAGTTACCGGTATCTGGAGACAAACTGGATCAGTCATGTTTCTCACAACATACATTCCTGGGCGGAGGCCGTCATCTCCGGTCTCATTGGCGGTTTGCACCCTGCTAGCCCACATATCGGCAACTCCCTTGATAATCGGCCAAGCTTGTTGCTTGAGCCAACCCTCATCGCCGGTAGTCAAGAACTGATGCCAATTCACAAGTGCAATATCCGTATTTAGATGGTACTGGTAATCGACACATGGGCCAGTTGCCGTGCAGTTTCCGAACCTCGCAGAAGTCCACGGATATAGCACACCGTCGGACCTGTGCTGCTTGGCGTTTTCTCGTGCCTGCGGAAGCATTCGGGAGCGGTAGTTGTTGATTGCAGACGCGTGATCGGGGTGTAGGACGAGTAATCCAGGAAGCATCCACACTTACAACCATGTGTTAGCACAAACCGCTAAGCCAACTTTTAGGCAAGACGTGCACTCAGCATCCCAGAAGACAAATCCTGCGTAAGAATCACTGGCCAAACCACCGACAGAGATGCTGTTGTCTCCAAGCCCCCTTTCTTCAAAACCGCCACGAACATTGGCCAGTAAATGGAACAAACTAGCTCTAACCGCGATCTGCATTCGTTTGTCACCATGAACAACAATATCGCCGTCATCCCACAACTCATCCCAAGCCTCATTATGCTCTCTGATCAATGAATCCCATCCGTAGGCCCTGGAATCTAGTGCCGCTTGCTGAGCTGTACTTTTAGTGTGCGGGAACGCATCGGTGCTGGCAATACCGACATATTTGATAATTGTAACGGTCTGTTGCTTAGATGTCTCCACTTGCCATTCCTGGGAGATGGTAGAATGATTGGTTGAAACGTAAGGTCTATGATTCGCGTTCTTTCTTGATCCTTCTATCACAAGCCCTTGTCGGGATCCGAAAGGGAAATCTACGGTTGAAAATTCATAGGCAGTAACGTTCGGGACGCCAACTGGGCTAACAGCCGTCCAGATCATGTTGTTTTCGTTCTCAAAGGCCTTCTCAAAAAAATCTGTCCTTTGAGCACCGGCACCATCCAGTATGTCTGTCACAATCACATTCCCATCCTCAGAAGGGGTAATTTCGAGCTTTAGCATCCCAAGGTTGATTCGCGATCGGTGGGCCAAGATTGTGAACTTGAGATCGTAGGTAATACCGCCCTTAACAGGGGTCCATTTTACCCTCGTGGTCAAGATCCCGTTTCGGATACTCAGCGATTGGCTGAACCTCTCAATCTGCTCGTGGTCAACACCAGGTGCATAGGTGTACTTCCCATCGGGTGTTGTGACGTATAACGTGCTCCAGGTTGGGATGCCCGAGATAACGCTCTCTCCACCGTTCTTGAGCAATTCTGGGAAGTTCGTTCGGGTGGTGTTGTGTTGGGAATCCCAAAACCCGGAGATTGTAGCGACGGTTTGTCGGGGGCTATCCAATGGCCAACCGTTGATGGGCCAAATGCCGTTGGGATCCGAGTTGTTTTTCAGGACCTGTACTGCATTAGCTATGCGGCCCCTAGAACCCAATTTCTCGGGGGCATTGCCCAATACCCAATTCCTTCGGCAGGAATTCGGCTCCCGTGGTAGCCATTCGCAACATAGGGCTGGGTCTGGTAGTGATTTGTGACCAATGTCTTGGTACTCAAGGTCCAAGACTCGGGATCATAATCCGTGATGTTATGCGGTAGTTCATTATTCTCGAAATCGGGAGGTGGAGGGGAAGTGAATTGTGGCTCAACCAAAGAACCCATAAGCCCGTCTCCAATTCGCGGGAGCGCAGACGCGAGACCTAGGAAGGTCAAAGTAAGCAGTAAGACAGCCATTGCTCTCCGACCTACTCTATGGACACTTAACAAAGATGACGGTGCTGGTGGTGGAAGAGGAGGAGGCCCCGGGAAGGTACTGTAATTATATGCCTTCTCGGGATCACTCCCGAAATTCACATTTTCGCCTTCAATCTCGTAACCATGTCCCTGAACGGCCCCCAGCAATAACGGCCGCCGTTCCCCATTCTGGACTTCTTTGGTAGGAAATTTCGTGGCCACTTTTGCTAGTTCCACCGGTATTATAGTTTGCTATGTTAATTGTGTGGGAAGTCAAACCCTATTTTCGCTCTGTTTTCTGCCCAAGCTCGCGCGTATCACGGGGGTCCGTACGAGTACGAGCATGCAAAGCGGAAAAAGAGGTCTATGTCGTAAGCCGAGCCTGGGATGGTGAGCTGTGGGGATTTGGTCCCGGTAGGATTGGGGAAAAGAGTGACAGGCAGGGGGTTGCTAAAGGGAATGATGGTTGTTGGGAAAACGGAACACCCTGATGTATGGGGAAAATGGGTGCGGGGCCGGACGCTAGTGTAGTTTTACTGTAGTAGACGCCGTTGCCGAAAAATCGGGTTGGAACGGGTGAGTTGTGGATACGGATGGATGAACGATCGAATGACAGGCTTGTGGACGGACAATAAACGGGGAGCGAGGAAGGGAGGGAGGAGGTCAGCGGCAAGGTGAGGGAGTGACAGTAACGGGAGGCTGGAGAAAACACGAGAGCGATGTCATCACATGGTTGGCGTAAACAAAGCGTGACTGGGGAAACGGAAGTGGAAGTTGCCGGCAGGGATTACTCTGTGGGAGCGATGGGCATACCGGTAGGTTTACCGGGAACTGGCCTAACCGGCCTGTGCTCGCCCAGGAACCATCTCGTAAATCTAATAATACAATACCGTTATTTCTCGAGTACGCATGCCGAACCTTACGTAAATTAAAAGCGCCACAGTCCACCAGTACGAGTACGATACGAGGATCATTATTTGGACAGTGAAAGTCGGGATTGCCATGGCCGTGAACTGGGGTTGGGGACTGCCCTGGTTTTCGTGGTTTGGGCAAGGCTACCGGTGTCCCGTGAGTTTTAACGTCACGAGCCAAGCGACTTTGCTCGAGTAGACTACTGGCACCGGTTTGCTGTGTGTTTATCGCTGGTCTAACTTACATGTAACTTATGGTAGCGTGAGAGTTTCCCGGCTGTTTTGTGTTATTGGTCACTATAATTGGCTTTTCTGCCTTCCCTGGAATCTTGGATATCTTGGGCACTCTGGGGACGGTCGAATTCGTCGACTAGTACTCGAGTAGGATTTGGCCAGATCTAGCTGAACTCGGTTAGTAAATCGAGGTTTTAATACGAGAACTTTTCAAGGCTCACATGGCTCAGCGCTTTTGGTGAAATTAAATACCTTACCGGTGCTCGAGTGGCTCCATGCTGGGCTCAGCGTGTCCTGCACGTACTTGTGCTCGTATGAGACCAGCGGTAGTTCTGTAGTACCGGTAGACTACTGGTAACTCACCTTCCGATTACCGGTACTTGGCAGTAAAAATCGCCGAGTATTGAGATCAACCCACGGAGCAATTTGGACCAGCACAACCCATTTATTGAGAATGCGCGAACTATAGTTTCTGCCGGCACCCGCATGGGCATGATACTGGTGGTAACTTCACAACTTTTGCTCGCTTCGGGATTTTGGGGCTTGTTTCTGCCATTAAAGAGTCGGCATATATTCGGGTTCCTCAACGGGGCGAGAAGGCGCAGGGATGAAGTGGGGGGATGTTCGTCGTGAACAGGACTTGTAAATAGTTTCTCCTTTTCTCTCGTTTCCTCTTTTGTCGAAAATTCATTTTATTTGTACTCGTATGAATTTTGCCTGGGCACTGTAGCCCCCGCTGCCGCCATCATTCAGGATCCTCGATTTTAGAGCAGAATCCCTAGGTAGCGTGCGATCTGCGTCCGTGCTCATTAACATAATGTAGGCACGATCAGATAAGGCAGGAAGACCGAGCGCTACCGAAGTACCTCGTACCGGTGGTTAGCTCCCGGAGGATCATGGGGTATTTGTAGCTTTCGTACCCACCAGATATTGGAGGAATACTTGCGAGCGAACGACATAGGATTGCGATATGCCTTTGGTAGATGATTATGGGGAACTCCAACTGGATAGAGGGCGGCGTCATCTCACTGGCCGAGGCGCTTCGGGGCCTAGCTACTAGCAGCCACTGTTGGGCTGGACTGCTAGCCCTACTGGCTAGCTAAACGGAGGCGGGGGGGAGGTTCTCACCTTGCACGCTTGTTGGAGTGTGAACCAGGTGTTGGGGTTCTGGTTGTCCTATCATATTGCTAGGAAGCAGTAGACTCCTGCTGGAGAGCACGAGCATATTTGGGAGTAATGTCGCCTCATCCTGGATGCCTTGGAGGTGGTTTTTAACAATAGTGGACAGTAACTTCTTTAATTGTCAGCCGGTCTCCGGTGAACTGCCCAGTTTGGGTCTCTGTTTGTCGCTATTTTTTTTAGCACGCCGCGGGTCTTAGCATGATAAATCTTAAGGAAACCGAGAGGCGCTTCTTGCTGTTGGTGTCCGAGTGCTCATAGGGCAAGCATGGGAAGGTAGTGACTATCATACTAGGACAACTCTAGAGGTGGGGAAGGAGTTGGGTATCCCGTTGCTGGAAGTTGAACGATTGAAATCACTGTTGTAGTGATACGCCGGAGGAGCCCAAATGATTAGTCACTGTGTCATACTTGTACCGGTACGTAAATTTATCACTCGGTATGATACCTTGCGAAAATGACTGAAAAGGAGACGACTTTCTGGGCACCAAGGGCTACCCGGCCGACAAGTTCTCAGCCAGAATAGCTCTCATGCTGATGCTGTGCTGTTATGTAATGTTCTTTTCTCGCAATGGGGCATTTGGAGCTTCGCATAGTTTCTAGGCCGTATTGTGCGTACTGGGGTTCACTTGTGCTAGCTGGTGAGATCTTCCTGGTGTGCTAGTACAACACCAGTACAAGTAGAATCCTGGAACAGATCCTGGCAAAACAGGAATTCACGGCCTGTTGCAGTAATAGTACTAACGCTGGATGTGAGCTTCGAGCGTGGAAAGAACAAAACCCACTTGAGTGATCGAAGTGATAGATTCATTCGGTTTCACACGCCACCTATTACATTGTAGTAGAAGAAAGAAACATGCTTCCTGGAGATAACAAAGAGCTTTGGCTTTTGTGGCTTCTTTCAAGACAATAGAATGCCTCTTTTTCTTGCGATGGAATTCAAACTCTAACACCACAATGCTGCATCTAGACACTGTATGAGTGGGCCCACTAGTGCCCCGGGAATTTGATCAAAAGAGTTCGGTTTTACTAGTTTCCTCTTCATCTTGAGCTACTTGTTTTCGGTTACTGCATGGTACTCAAGATGCGTGGTTGCGGCAGATCCACAATTGCAAATAGCCCATTTGAATGATTGAAGTGGGGACCTCAATGAAGCACGGTACTCTCCCGATCTGGTTCTGTGAAAGGGAGGAAGAATTGCTGGAGAAACCTTGCGATAGATGAGTCTAGGCAATCTGTGTAGTTAAGAAACGGGGAATTGGATGGGTGGGGGGTCGGCATCTGGCTGGGTGTGCTCGGGTACCTAATATCCATAGTCCCTATTATCCCAAGCGAATAACGGTCTCGATTTGCTAATACTCTGTCATGGCAGTCTTGAACCCAGATTCCTTTACTCTGATAGGGTATGGATCTCTGCTTCTCTGGTGTCGGTATAGAAAATGAAACTTTGAAACGGGGTGGCAATTAGTTATTCAATCTTGGGTAGAGGTTTCATCATGTGCGATTCAAATTTGATGAATTCGTTGGAGTAAATCCAGGGTATGGGCGCCATCGGGCAAACCATGTGCGTGGCAAAATATCAAGAAAAGGGCTCCGGATACGTGCAAGGCAAGGTCTCCATATGATTCCATGGGAGCACAAAGAATTTTTAGCTTTGTGGCTTACCGGTACCAGTCTTTCAGTAACTTTGACAAAGTGACCTTTCTTGTATATAGAGAGGATACACTGCCCACCTCGTGCCCAGATAATCTTGCGATTTTCTTAGGGCCTAAGATCCTATTTTTGTCGGTTTTGATCAGTATTCCGAGATGTGTTGCAAATGGGAGGATATGTCCCCTTCTCCACGATAAATCTTTATGCTAGCATCATACCGGTAGTATATCACCTTATATATCTGACCATAGCTTACCAAGATTTTTATCTAATAGCTTCAAACTGCGGCAATCTGGTATCTTTCGGGACTCCCCTCACTAGGTCAATTTATCGTTTGCACCGAAAAACTACAATAGTAGAGACTTTGCGATTTCGCATCCAAAGTCAAATTCTAGCGATCTCATTGGCCCAGAACCCTGTTTGACCCACATCCAGAGTCTTTTCGCAAAGTCCCTAATATCACCCGTTGGCCCTTGCCACATCTGGGCCTAACAGCGGATAAACATTTCTCCGAGACACCTCTGCATTTCCAAGCGTGACTCAGCCAGCCAGTTACGAGATCACGCAATGAGTCAAGACTCACTATACCAGCGCTGTGGTCCCCCTCTGATCTCCACCACCACGATACCATGGAGCCTCCTACAGATTCCACTCCCGCTCCGGCATACATCTCGGACTCTGAATGCGGAGAGAGGCTGACTTTCCGGCAGGATGAGGAAAAAGCGCTTAGCATCCCTCTGAGGTACCTCCTCGCTCTTATTCCGACCGAGGCCGCCGACACTTACACGCTTATTTCCCAGACTGGACTGGAAGGCGGAGTTACTAGGTCGACTATTGCTAGTCCACCGGCGGAAGTCGTCGAGCGGTACCGTATTCCAACTGACGCACCAGCACATCTTCAGGGACCAATTTCTGTGGTCGTCTCCCCGTATTCAGGCCTCGGAATGGCGGACCTATACTTCTCTACCCTTATTGCGCCGGTGCTCGAATTCTATTCTGTCCGTTATAGCAAGCATACTGTTACCTCCCCCACCGCTATCAAGGCCATTACCGATGGGCTTCCTGAAGGTGTATCGACGGTTGTAATTCTCTCGGGGGACACTCTTATCTTTGAACTGCTCAACAGAATGCAGAGCACCAAACGGCCGGCATTAGTATTGATACCAACGGGCACGGGAAATGGTTTGGCAAGCAGTCTTTGCAAACCCCTGCCTCCGAACGACCTCATCAGAGGTGCCTTTCACACATTCCTCCACGGAATATCCCGCCCGCTTCCCGGCTTCGTAGTCAAGTTTTCACCCGGCGCTCATCTTCTAGGAGAAGTAATACCGGACCGGGAACTCAAAGGAACGGTAGTGACAAGTTGGGGATTCCACGCCTCCCTCGTCGCCGACGCTAGCACCCCCGGGATACAATCATCGGGAACGGAAAAATTTCAAATCGCAGCGAAGCAAAACCTTACACCGTCGCTTCACGCCTACCGTGGTACCATATCGATCGTTCGTCCCGGGAGCACAGTGTGGGAGGAAATAGAGGACACCAACGGCGAAGGTCATTTTTACTTGGTTGTGACCGGGGTATCAAACCTCGAGCCTGCTTTTACGATCAGTCCAGCAGCCAACGGGGTAGATGGGATTCTCCGGATTATCTATTTCGGAGTTGGAGATGTAGAGGGTGCGGAGGGGGTGATGGGAGTGATGAGGGCGGTATACGATGGTGGGAAACATGTTTCGGTTCCGGGAGTAAGGTATCAAACGGTAGATGGGGTGAAGATTCATGTGAAAGAGGCGGAGGAGAAATGGCGCAGGGTATGTGTTGATGGGGCCGTGGTTACGCTTGAGGAGGACGGGTGGCTGGAGATCACCAGACACCAGGGATGGGCCGATGTCGTTTACAAATCCCGATTCGACGATTGATTGTATCATACCCCAGAGAAATGACTTTTGAGTACTTGTACCAGAGACTTTGCGATTTCGCATCCAGAGTCAAATTCTAGCGATCTCATTGGCCCAGAACCCTGTTTGACCCACATCCAGAGTCTTTTCGCAAAGTCCCTACTGTAACAGCACAGAAAGGAACGGCACGAGCGAACCCCCCCTCCCGTCCATCAAAAGTGGTGGTGTGGTCGATCACGATACCCTGCTGCTTGTCCATGAGGAGGTGATATCTCGAAATGCGTGACTAGGTCACGAGGGGTGTGAGTCATAGTGGCGTGGGGAAAAAAGCAAAAAGCAAAACTAGAGATGGCTCACCCTATCCCGCAAAAAAAGGATTTTAATTCGCTTCCTGAGTCAATACAGGTATGCCGGAAACCTTTGGGCGATACAAATCATGTATTAGCACTCGTTGCCACCTGGGGATAACCCCGGCGACCCGACTTCGGGCACGGAGATAGGGTGATTATGGGAGGATTATGCGAGAGTAAAAAGGTCTTTGACAGGGTAGTGAGCTTCGTGTAACCGTAGATGTGTACGAAATGTCCTCGTGGGCAGATTATGGTGCGCCCCTAGCATGGTCGTGAATAAAGGGATTAGGTCAAGCTGTGGGGGGAGAAATGATTGGTTCTTTGTTGGGGCTATCTTTTGCCAAGAATTCTAGAATGGGAAAAATGCCAAGAACACCGGCGTTGATGCCGCTTTGAAACTAGAGTGCATAGCCCCCCTTCCTTTTACTATTTAAACCCCTTCCTTCTCCTCTCCTTTCTTCTCTCCTACTTCCCACCTGTTTTTTTATACAACACAACATACTTCATCCTCCTTACACTTGACACCTTCCTGACTCCTGACACAACCTCATATTACCTCTTTCAGTTCATCTACCTGCTTTACAACATCTCCCTTTTTTTTTTCTTCTTTTTCTGCAATAGAATTCTTTCTCCATTTATTCAGCTCTACCCTCAACCTTCTTATACCATATTTGACATTTTTCTTCTTTTTCATCAAATATCAACATACTTTTCCTTTTGTACTAGTGCATTTGAATACCTGCTCCAATTTGCATAAGAAAATACATTTGGCTTACACAACTTTATTGTTGTGCTTTGATACAATACTAGTACTGTTTATTTGAATACAGTATCACTGTTGTTTATAATACAGTACTAGTTTGTATTCAGCTTTATTGAAGACCAGCTTTCTATAAGATTGCCTGGTTCTTCAACCCTTCTGATTACTTGGTTCTTGCAGCAATTTTAATCACTTGCATTGTTACTACTTGGTCTACATTATTACCACCTGCTCTTATTCAGCAACAGTTACGAGTTTACATTTTTTGCCTTTACGGTTTAAATTGTTTTCAGCTGCCTCAATTTTTCCCGGTGGTCCTGCTCTGTCGCACCTTACTGCTTCTCGGCAGTTATCCGAAATCCAGTTTTGTTCATACCGGTGTGGAGTTACTGCAAACGTACCGCAGAATAGCTCTTGTTTTTGTGTAACAACTGGACCTTGCGGCTTTGACGGCGAAATTCTTCAACCGAACTACAATTGTTCCGCCCCTGCCTACTGATTCAGCCAAACCCTTAGGTTGATTTCAGAGAGGCTGAAAAAGTAGGAAAAAAAAATTCCCGCTTGCCCTACCCTGCACGTATCCGGCTATCCTACTCACTCGCCTTAAACTTTATATCTTAGGCGCATTGCCCCTTCCATCTCTCTATTGGATCAACTGATAGCATGGCCAACATGACCGGAGCGTCTACCTCGTCACATCGAGATCTTTGTCAGTAACCCTTCTCCCTTTCACAATCTTGATCAGCTTGGGAAAAATAGAGTGATTCTAATAAAGAAAATAGATAGGGACGGAACTTTCAAGCAACGGCAGTTGATGAAATGGCGCTGGGCTATTCAGCATAGGCACCATCATGCGGCCACCAATGGTGCAACTGCCATCTCCACGGAGGATATAGTTTTTCTTAACACTCTCCTGACCACGCTGAGCTTTTATCGCTGGGTCGGTAACGACTTTAACTTGACCAAGATTGGAAGAGCGGTTAGGTACCTTGCCGACGAGACTCTTTTCGGCGATGACCTTTCGAACAGAGCGAGGATCCTCCTCGAACGGTGGGATAATGGTAATTTCACGCCGGGTCCTATCGAAGACCTGTTCGATGACGATTTCAGCTCCGAGACTGGAGAAGATTCTGATAGCGCTGATGAGGGTGTCGTGGGGAGCGCTGCCTACAGGCATGTCATGAGAGGCATCGATGTGGTTCTTAGCGCAACCGGGAGAAAAACATATATGTTGGATAGGAGCTTTGACAAAAGGTCTGCCGATGTATTTGGAGCTAACGGGCTTGCTGTCGGAGAGTACGTTGTTCTCTTTATAGCCTTCCTTTAGTCCTAATCTTAATTGCAGAAATATGCTAACAAGGGTGTAATAGCTGGTGGCCATATCAGATCTGCGCACTCAGAGATGGAGCTCACGGTTCTCGTATGGGCGGCATCCATGGTCGTGTTAATTCGGGTGCCTACAGTATCGTAATCTCGGGTGGATACGAAGAGACCGACAGAGACTACGGCGATAGGATCCTTTATACCGGTTCCCGCGGCGAGATAATTCCAAACAGCCCCCAAGTTGCGCCTCTCACCAACGCTACCATGTCTCTTATTAAATCCTACCAAACCAGGAAGGCGGTTCGCGTTCTTCGCTCATCGAAGTGCAACTCGAGATGGGCACCTGCTGTCGGTATCCGATATGATGGGATTTATCGTGTTATGAACTACGAGATTGAAGAGGATCACGAAGGGAAGCCGTACTATCAATTCGAATTGCAAAGAATTCTGGGTCAGGAGCCGATCAATACAACTAGACCGGATGCGAAGGAGAGGACGGACTTTGCTCGTGTTACCGGGAAGTAATGGCTGCTTGCAGTCATCGGATGGGTGGGAGGCGAGTTAGCTGTATGCTGTGATTGGAAAGGAAGAAGAGGGGATGAGGGGGAAGAGGGGATGAGGGGAGAGGCGAAAACGAAAAACGAAAACCGAAGAAAAAAAACGCAGTATTACGAAAATTACGAAAATAATAACGACAAGGTTACGATAGCGGATTTTTTTTGTTTCCTTTCTTCTTGGAGCATTACGGGGTAATGGTTCATTGGAACCTATAAAGGAAGTCATGCAGCGGATTACTTCGGACTGCGCTTCTGTGGAAGGCTTGGAAATCGTCGGAATAGTGCTGTTTTTTTGGTCTTAGTACGGCGACACTGGGACTACCATGGCTCTGGTCTGACGATTAATGGGGAACTGCAAAGGAACGAGTTATCGGGTTGGAGATTGATAGAGCTGATAGTTTGGGTCTTCTCAAGTTGAAAGGAGGTCGAATGGGATTGGTGGAAAAAAAAAAAGACGGAACTCGGCAGAAAATAGGATCATACCCCACGGAGGGTACGGAGGACATCAAATTGGTCTCAAGTACTTCTTACAACGACACCAACCCCACAATCGATGAAGGATGAAAGACAGAAGGGCAGTTAGGGAAATACCGTTTGATATGGGGTGAGTTGGAGGGATGGGTTTGCTTTGCATTGACGGATGGAGATGGAGGAGCTGGTACTGAGTTGTTGTAACTGGCTCTTGTCGCGGAAAATTGATGGATCGGATACCGGTTTTGTGTTTGTGTTTTGTGTTTGTATTTTGTTTTTGCTCTTTTGTCTTGCGGTCATGAGATGTCGGTGTTTTACTCTTTTGCCTTCATGTTGTGGGGTACCAATGTAATGGGATTTTTATTTTATTTTAACTAGCATGGGAAAAGCGGGAACTGGTTGGAGGGATAGAAAATCTGATGGGGTTTAAAGCTGGGTGGCAATAGGTGGAGACCGAGGGGTCGGATGAAGGTGGATTGGTGTAGCTACTGGTGGAGCTCTTCCTTGATTGTCATGGGTTGCTGGAAAATTTGTCTTGCCTTTTGTTTTTCCTGTTATCTTTTTGCCGCAAGCTTAGTACACTTATATCATGGCACTTGAATGAGAGTTTCCCCTAATGAAATTGGCGGAGTGCGTGTAGTGCTCTTTTGAACTGTGACAAGTGAATAAGTAAAAGTCCCAGTAGCCGGTAGAAAATGTCATGATATTATACCTAGGTAATGGTTGGTTTGGTTTACGGCCCTGCTAGCGAGCTCAAACTCTAACATAAATTTGTGCCTGACATTAAGTCTCACGGTGTTTGGTTGGCGCGGGGACAAGGGCTGGAGTTTCCTTTTTTACAATAGCACGATGATAGAATAACCGCTTTGATATAAACACTGGAAGTCGAGTTTATGTGAATTTTGGCGAAGAAGGCTTCGTAGAGGAGGTGTCGGAGCAGGATAACGGATTTTTGATTACATGGAGAATATTTAAAGATGGTGAAAATATCTAGATCTACAAGTTGATTGGATAAGGTTGGAACTATATACTACTAGTAGTTCAGTATGGTTTGTGCACTTCAAAATGTATACAGGGCTGAAAAAAATGTGTTACATGTGGCCGTGCAAAATTAACTGCCAAGACCTAATTCCCAGTGCAAGAAGTAAGAACTTTTTTCAATTATAATAGAATAATAAAGTAGAATTTATCTTCCAACTTGTAGGAAGTGGGAAATTTATTCAAATACAGTTTCTTATCATTCTATCATTTACTACTCTAGCTCTAATATATTATTAATATTGCAGTTACTTTTGGATTTATGCTTAACCGATACCAGAAACTTGGAGAAACTAAAACCCTATTTTGTAAGTAAGGAGTTCTATGATTATTAAGCATTTCAAAGTGTGACTAATATACAGTAACACATTTACAACATTTACACTAAAAATACAACTTTATAAATCCTGCTGTACTAACAACTACCATTGTATTTGAAAATAAAGAACCCAGGTATGAAGTAGAAGATAGTTAAGAATAATGCTTGAGGATTTGTTTTTCAATTACATTAGTAGTTGTTAATGCAACAGAGTTTGAAAATCACTAATTTTCTAGCATATATTTTGAAGTATATTAACTATATTCAAGAAATAAGTTATTTTTCCTTTTATAGTTTTATGATTTTACAAGTGTTTACCCATGTGTAACCACACTGATTCCTACATTCTGAATGCAGTACAATTAATATTACCTCTCTGAGTATTTATTACCAATTATTATAATTTTCTTGGTACTTATTATCATGATAGCTTAGCCTATACAAAGACAATGCCTACTACATAATTGAACTATAAAACCTTTGTAAATACAATATTTTTTATAATACCAACTGGTGTATTATCTCTTATTAATATCTTGATATTTTGAGGATTAGATGCTCAAGATAATGCCACATACAACTGTCCATAAGTAAAGAGATTATTTTGCAAGAAAATTTCAACTGTATCTAATGACTGTCCTTGAATTTTATTGATTGTTATTGCAAATGCCAAGTGAACTAGATACTGCCTTCTATTAAGTTGAAAGCTAAAATCACTTTCTGGATTACTTGTAATTTGAATGCATGGTATATAGATCTTTTGCCCACTACTTGTGTCAGTGAAAATAATTCCTCCAATGAAATTTCTTCCCAAGTATATAATCTGAAGTCTAGTACCATTACAAAGACCATAAAATGGACTAAGATTTCTTAAAAGTATAATAGTAGTACCAATCTTTGGTGATAACCTATGGTATGGTATTCCTGACAGTATAAGTAAGTTTAGGTACTCACTAGAATAGAGTTCAGCAGCTTCTTCTATAACTATATCAGCGCTAAAATATATTTGTAGGATTCCCAGGTAGTAGATCCAATACCATATCATTGATGTTGGCAACATCAATATTATGGGGTACTAAAATAGCTCTTCCAGCAAGATATTCAGATGCAGGTACTCCACTCTTGAGATCACTGTAGATACTACTAATAAGTTCCTCAATTGTGTTGTTTGAAAGTTGAAGAGCCTTTGGTAAAGGGATTTGATCAATAGCAGAATGGTCTATCTGCTTTTCTCCAACTGCTAGGATGAACTCAGAATACTCTATTGCATTTCTCTATTGTTCTGGTGATAGATGGCCTCTTAAAATTCGATAGTTTTCTTGCAGATGAAGAGTAACAATAGAGGACCAAAGATAGAATCTTTTTAGAGTAGAGGCAACAATCTGGGCCTGGGATCCTTGTGGTACTACTGGTAAGCACTGTCTGAAGTCTTCAGCAAAAAGAATAGTTAATTCACTAAATAGTTGTGAAGAATAGTTATGAATATCCTGTAATGTTCTATCAACAGCCTCAAATACATGCCAGTGTTGCATAGGAGCTTCATCCCAGATAAGTATACTGGTTTGCTGAATCTATTGTGCCAGTACTGAATTTTTAGGTATGTTGCAAGTTGAATTCTTATCAAGACCAATTGGAATTTTAAGTGATAAATGAGCAGTCCTACCAGAATTTAACAGAGTTGCTGCAATACTACTGGATGTAACTGCAATAGCTATTTTTCCCTCTTTACAAATGAGTATGGTTTTGTTATAACCTACACATGGGCTTTTTTGGTTGTTACTGGGAAAACAGGTTTGAAGGGTGGCAACCTGAGAAAATCAATCTTGAGATAAATACTTTTTTCTTTTCCTCTATAGGCGAATCACTTCTCTTCTATAATAAAAACGTTTAAAAATAAGGGAATTCAATTAAAAATTTATTTACTATGTAGAGTATATATCTATGATTTAAGATTTGTGAAAATATATTATTTACATGGTTTTTTCTACTATGTTTATTCTTGGATTCCCAATGTCACTGTCTTTTATATTTTCTTCAAGTTATTTCTGGCAATCCCTCCTTAATTAATAGAGCTTTTCTTAGCTGCTCAATTATTTGGCCTTCTGTCATGGCCACCCGGCTATGGAGACGGAATATGCATGGGTTCTTTGTTGCATATATTGGTTGTGGTTTTCTTGGTTGTATGGTTGGATTTCCTTTGTATGAGCGATTGGGATGTGTTGCCGCGCAACAGAAGGTAGCGGAACCAGATAGAGAAATCGCGGCTGCGCGCGACGCCAAGGACTTTCTTTTGTATTAGTGATCATGGAGGATTTTCTTAGTATATAAAGGGGTGTGCCCCTTTATATTTTACTTTCTTTACGCAATCTGGTAATCTCCTTCGGATACCTGTACCGAGAAATTACACTCTCTACTATCTGGCGTCCTCTTGAACCCCTGAACCCTGACCCTGAACCTCTGAACCCCGAACCTCATACAATTCGCTTCGGTTGTACCCCGGCACCTAGACCTTGTCTCCAGATTCCTACCTGTCCTGATCGTGGTGTGCCTTGGGCTACCCGACCCTCAGACCCTGTCCATTACACAAGATTGCGTCTACCAGGACCCAACCCACACCAAACCATGGCTGCCGCTCATCTCCCCGACAACATCAATGGTCCCCTTCAGACCCTCGCGGGCCTGGGAGATAACCACGCCCAAGGGCTTAACCATGAACAACTCCAGGCCCAGTTCTACCTTGCCAGAAACCTGGCCCGCCAGATCCTGAACGCACCCGCTCCTCCTCCTCGTCAAGCCACCCCTGTCCCCCCAGAACAGACCCCCCAGTACCAACAATTGCAACAACAATGCAACCTCTTCCTCCAAGAACGAGACGACGCCCGTACCAAAGGCCAAGGCCTCGAGGCCAGTCTCGTTATCGTCGAAGCCAGCCTTATGCAGGTGTAACGACCCTACGATATAGAGCTATGGTAACCTATGTCTACGCCCATACAAAAGACCAAGAGGTTTGCTGGTAGACTAGGCGGGTATGCAGGCGCATGTCCGAGAGATATCCGATGGTCCGGAGATCTCTAAAAGAACAGTAGGTACTTAAGGTTTAGTGTATCTAGGTAGTGGTAGTAACGTGACAATGTCCGCTCTGACCTAAGGATAGGTCAGAAGGCCGGGTGAGTTTACCCTACCTAAGGAAGTCACGTTACCCTACCATGGAGACAGGCTTCGTGTCACCATGGACATACTTACCCTACCTTTGGGACACTATTACCCTACCTTGCGTCGGAAATGTTCTTGGAAGAATTCCGGGAAATGTTAGGATTGTTTGTTACGCAATGACGATCGACGGGCACTTGGTTGCGCTGTGATCGGAAGGCTACGAAAGGAGCTATAGTGCTCCGAACAAGCAGTAACTTGGTAGAATTATTCCTAACAGGTACCTGCGGCCCCAGGGTTCGCCCCGGGCGTCATGGGTCAAAATGGGTGGAGTTGCCGTTATGCTAGTTAAATGGAATCTAGGAAGACATGTCCATAACACTGTATACGTCGTCGCCGTCCGTCCGACCGGAAGCTGTTCGCAGGATATATAAGGGGGCCAAAGCGAGAAGGTCAGGTACCTTCTCCAAAAAGGACGGAGTAAAACGGACCAAAACTGACGGAGTTAGCGTGAGCTATCCGGAAGGGTCCCCAGAGTAGTCCCGGGTAGTGCCGGAGACATCTGGAAGGGTTTTACGCCAATCAAGCCTACACGTGCCCCTTTGCCATAGGCTCTTTGTGGGTTGTTTGAGGACTCTAATAGCATGACACTTATCACGGTGAGTGGTGTGCCGGGGGTAAGGGACCATGGGTAGCGCCTATGGGTCCCGCCGCCGACACAGCTCTCCGCGGGAGCGTCGTAGACCCCCTAAGTTCGCAATCAAGAAAGATAGAACTTAGCCGGAAGACAGCTGATGTCTACGAGTGCTTGTATAGGTCATAGCACATGGGAAGAGAGTCATTTAGTTAGCTTTCCTAAGGGTCTCGACAGTTAGCCACTGACGAGACACCGATGCGCAGAAGTTTTCACTCC